TTCTCTCTATTTCTATCTCATTTTGCATCTGATAAATTGCAAAAAATGGCCATACACTGCGGTGGACGCACAATGCACCGTGGCGCATGGCACAAAAAGATCCTCCCTCATTCAGAAGCATTTGTGCATCGTGGCAAACGATCTACATGTCGCGGTGTGTGGCACAACAATATCAACTCTTCCTTTTCTTCTCCTTTTGATGCTTGGGTAGCCTACCTTGATACTAGACCCATGACTAGGGCTAAAATACCATCAAATATAATTATTAGACCTCTCTAGCCACACACCACTTTAACTTATTTAATTTTCCTAATTAGGTTTAATTAATTTGGGGATTAAAACTCAGGATGTTACAGGAATCCATTGATCCGTCCAAACCTTGATACTCTTACCCCCTTTCTAACTTCCAACAAAGGTCCTTTGATAATAATTCTCTTCCTGTGAGCAAGCCAAGCCCAAGATGCATGTGACCCTTTTCTAGCATCTAGAAAAGAGGTATTAGGGAAATAAATATTTTTCAAAACTTTAACCCATAAAAGATTAAGGTTGTTGAGGATTTTCCATGCAATTTTGGCAAGGAGAACATTGTTAAAATTTATGAAGTCTAAAAAACCTAAGGCCATCTCCAAATTTAGGAGCACAAAGTTTAGATTAGGCCTTCCAATGAATGTTGTTTCTATCTTCAATTTTCCCCCAAAAGAAATTAGCAACCATAATATCAAGTTCTTGGCACTTTCTCTTGGGAAATTTAAAACACATCATAGGAAAGATTGGAATTGCATTAATTACTGCTTTAATCATTACTTCTCGCCCAGGAAAGGATAATGACTTGCTATGCCAACCCTGTATTTTCTTACCCACTTTATCCCTTGTATTTTCTTACCTATTTTATCCCTACCATAAGCAAGAGCTGCCACTTTAGATATACCTCAAAGAATGGACAAACCAAGAATTAGGGTCTTCAATAGTAGGAATGTGCAGAAAATTATAAACCTCATCTCTTACTTATCTTAGAGTATTTGCCGAAAAGAATAGAGAGGATTTTTCAAAATGCATGCACTGGCCTAAAGCATTAAAATAAGTATTCAGAAGCTCCTTTATAACACCGTAGTTTTTTTCTTGATGCATTAAGAAAGAGAATAGTGTCATCAACAAAAAGACACCATAGGGCAATCATTAGTAAGCTTGACTCCTTACAAATTGCCATTTTCAACATGGTAGTTCAACATACAAGAGAAGACATCACTAGCAAGAATGAAGAGATATGGGGAGAGAAGGTTATCATAGCGCAATCATTAGTAAGCTTGAATCCAGCCATCACGCCAAACCCTTTAACATCACCTTTGAAGACATCTTCCACTATTGTCAGGTCCACCCCTAAACAAAACACTCAACCCTACCCAATCAATATGAGTACTTGCACCGAATCATCCTTGTCCAACGTCTTGAATGCTTAGGATAGGTCAACCATCAGTAACTTGGCTAACGAGTTTAGAGAACTAGGTCGATTGATCATGATAAAAGCAATGTTGTTTGGCTTACACTAGGTGATTATGAACTTTTTCTTCGATGATGACAACAACAATAAAACTTGAAGTTGTACATTTGGAAGTGTTCAGAGGACTACGAATAGGGATTGTTATCAGAGGACTCATCCATGAGGTTGTTTTGGGGGAGGAATTTCTGTAGAAGAGTGAGAGAGGAATTTCTGTAAAAGGATCTCATGGAGAGAGGGAGGGGAGGGAGATACCACCTAGGAATGTAAAGAGGCAAAGATGTAGAGAAAGAAACAAATTCATTGCCACTTGTCTGTGCCCACACCTGAAGTAATGGACATTTGTATCATTTTAACAATTGGGGCCAAATTACTCTAAATTTAATTATTTATGATTCAAAATATACTAAAAATAAGTTTAATGTTCAAATTGCTATTGGACCTATAGTTTATAGTTTAAATTGCATTTAACTCTTAATAAAATCTACATGGTGAGGATTTTATCAACAACTATTAGGACCAAATTAATAATGGAGGTGAGGATGCCCCAAATTTAATTGTTCAATATCCAAAATATGCTAATTATAAATATAGAATTCAAATTGCCTCTGAATTTATAATTCAGGATCTAAATTGTACATTAATCATATGTTAAATCACAATTTTAAAATAAATGACAGGATCTTTAATATATGTTTTGGAAAAAAAATTGTGTATGTGAAATGCATGGCAATTGGCAAGCCTCGAGACTTTGAAATAAATTATTTGGTGTGTTTTATTTAGAAAATCGAACGCTTAAACTTTGTAATGCTCTCGCCTAAAAAAACTCTTTTGATATATATGGTCAATCATTTTTATTTTTAATAAATAAAAAATGAGAAATTAAGAAAATTCGAGATTGGAAGTGTCATGAAAAGATCAGTTTGTCCATGTTTATGGAAAGAAAGTGACGTTTCAAGGTGCAAGAAAAAGGTGGCAATTCAACAATGCTGTGTCTCTGATCTTGACATGTACTAGCATTTACTCCTCTGCTTCGATTTATAAACATGCATAGAAAGTACTGCTGAAATTTAAATATCGTAAACTTTGTTATTGAAAGGGAAAATAATTTTTTAAAAAAATAAATGGTAAATTTTAGAGTAAATATTGTAAGTTGTTTCTAAAACGTTGCAAAATACGAGCAACATTTGTATCATAATTTTTGGAGAAAATTGTACTCTTTGTATAAAGAAAACATGCATGACTCTACATGCATGACTGCATGTTATGCGAAAGTTGTTTAAACAATAATTAATATTTCATTGTACTACAAAATACTCAAATTTAATCCATTTCCAAATTCATTATGAAAATGAAATAGTTCGCGTGCAAGCAACAATATCTGATATCTAATATCTAGACAATGATTTTAGCTCCAAGCGGCATGCAACTCTCTCGTATTAGTTTAATCTTATTTGATACTTCATGTGTTTAGCTTATTCTGTACAGTAAAAAAAAATACATTATTCATAAATAAATTCAAATTGCTGGATTTTTTTGTGTAAAAATTGCTGAATTTTTTTCAGTATAATGTAATCAAACCTTTAAAATAATAATAATAATAATAATAATAATAATAATAATAATAATAATATATAGGACAAAAATTATAAAAAATTGTATAATTTATAAATTATGAATGGTGTAACTTATCTTTTCAACCTCAATATAAATTAAATTCATTGGGATTGAAATTTAGTTTGCATAATACCTTAATCATACTCCTTTTGAATCACAATATAAGTAGTTCTTAATAAAATTTATGTTTTTACAAAAAAGTTAGTTAAAATTTTTTATTTTCTAAAAATTTTCTTGTCTTTCCAATTATGGCTTTAAGTGAAACAAATATAACATCTCATTTATTTAAGATACTTTTATTAATTACTTAAGTGGGATATAATAAAGTAAGGCTGTAATTAAAAAAATATACATAAAACCTACCTAATGTCTTATAGTTTAGATCAAGTAAGGCTTTTAGAAAATACTATATACTGTGCTAAGCATACCAATTTCAAGTTTTGAATAATGAGCTTTTGTGACATGAGAAAATATTTGGATGGGATGAATCAGGCTCATAAAAAATAAAACAGATATCAAAATTAAAATCAAACTTATAGTAATATTTACAAATTACCCATAAAAAGTTTTCGTGTAACCCATAAATTGAGTCAACTATACTTGGCTTGGCATTGGGTTAAGCTTTGTAGTTACCTGTAAAATGGGCTAGCAATCGGATTGGTTTGAAAAGTCAACGAGCACAAGGTATTGATTGGAGGAAGAGGAAGCAAGAAAATCTCTGACGGAGCGATGGTTATCGATTTATAATGAAATCTCACCTTCACCCTCACAAGGTATTGATTGCCCATGTTTCTGTGAGATTTTTTCTAAGACATTTTCCCCCAAATTCAAGCCGTCTTGTCCAACCCTTTGAAAGCGAAATGAGGCTATTGCTCAAGTATATAAAATAAAATGGAATAAGGTAAAAAAAAACATAATAGAAAAATACTTTTAAATAATTTCTATTTTTTTTCATTTTAAGAAAGTTTTCCTCTTCAATTTCGCTATTTATGTACATAAAATTATTTTTTGACCGAAAATTATTAAAGATATGATAATCCTCGTATTTATATCTAAAAAATCATTAAAAATATTTTTTATAAAATATTGTAATATATATTGTATAAAAAAATCCATTTTTTCCTTTTCCATTTTGCCATCCATGACCAAACAGCACTAAAAGCCTAGCTCCTTTAAATTTCTAACATGAAAATATGTGATTTCAGGCGTAGAATCGTTCAATAGGCACTGCATGATTGTTTCTTCTTCGTACTTACGTTGTTTTTGGTGTGAAAATAACGCTTTATTAAACCACTGATCCGTCAAACTAATAATATTATTATTTGGAATTGTAGAGACTAGTAGTCTATCAAATTTTAGCCATTTGTCGTGTTGCTGTGATGATTTATATATAAATAAGATAAGATTTAACCCAATGCATAAATGCTTCCCTCACACGTTATATTCATACTAATGATTGTCACATGCATCATAAACTCCATTGGAAATTTGAATTTAAAGTTTTGATTAAACATGCAAGTACATAAGGCTCCAATTATGGTCGTCGAGACTTTCTTCTGGAAGGTGTTAAGTTTAACCACTAAATTGGTCTAATTATGAATGAGATGTAGGTGTTCATATATATGGACACGCCTATCAAAAATTTTGTACTCATATGAACCATTCAAAATGAAAAGTCAAAAAGTTTAATTTAGTTTCCATCTTGAAAGAGTACATGACAACCTAGCAGATGAGGTAGACGGGGGAAAGATTATCCAAAAAAAAAATAATGCAATGAATGAAATCCTTGAAAAGCCAGACTGTGACGTGAAACAAACAGCAATAAATACCATAGTAAATACCGTTTTATTTGGACGTGCTTGTATGCAGCTTAAGCACAGGAAATAACTTGGGGGGTAAAAGACTAAAGTCATTCAATTCACACTCTGTCTACTATATCAGTTTGAACATTGCCCAGAAGATCTGGACTTGGATGGAGATACAAAAGATAATGAAATCAAGTCGAATCAGAACAAATTGATATGAACATTTGCGACCAGTGAATTGGTTTCCACGGAAGTCGCGGATGCTTTCACAAGTTACATACTTCCCAAGAAAGCCACTCCGAAAGCAACGAAAACTACTATAGAAATGAAACATTTTTTCTGTGAACAAACTCGCTGCTTATGGCGATGGAAAGAAAATCAATGGCTCTAGATTTAGTTTGAGGAATATGGCACTGAATCAGAACATGGGAGAGTCAGAAGGGGAAGAGTTCACTAAATTAAGAATGCTGTTCCAGTAATTCTTGTTATCTTCATAGAGGTCACCCCCACTGCCTCCATTACCTTCACAGTTATTAGACTCACCTCCGCCCTCCTCCGACAAACTTCGGTCATCGGAGTTAGTATTAAGCAAAAGATTGGTGAATCCTTCCTCAGCAATGGCATCAGTACTGGTCCTGAGAGACTCGGACGTCCACGTGCCTTCCATGGACATCGTCAACTCATGCAGGCTAGACGCAAAAGACATGGAATTCTCGATACCATCTTTGTATTCCGGCAGATGGACTGAACTTTCATAACCTTTCCACTCTTGCTCACCTTCCTCTTTCACAATTCCTGTCTCAGAAGAACCTGAAGAGCCCACAAACTCAATCATAGGCATTGTACTCTCTCCAAGTCCACTGGTCATAACTGGTGGAGCGTTCCCGGAGAAAGTCAGGGAAGACGAAGGGGATTCAAGTTCGCCACCAACATTATGGCCTTCAGTAGATTTCAACCAGCCTCCATTCCACGCCTTAAGCACATCTAGAGAGCGTGAGGAAATAGGTGGTCCCTCTGGTTTATTCCCAGCTTGGGCTGGGGTTGAAGCAGATGATGAAGATGAAAACCCAGAGCTGCAAAGCTGATGCTGCAATGATTGCGAACGTAGTTTTGATTCCCTAACCAACCTTGCTTCAGCTTCAAGCCTAGCACTCTCCCATTGAGCCATGTGACTAAGGTTGGCAGCACTCTTGGATTGGCCATCGATGGAGAGAAGGGCATCATTCTTGGGCTTGTGGGTCACAGGATCAATTCCCATTTTGGCTAACCTTTTCTTAAGATGCGTATTCCAGTAGTTCTTGATCTCATTATCTGTTCTCTTGGGCAAGTGTGTTGCTATAGCCGACCACCTGAGTACAAGACAACAGGAAATAATAGAGAGAGACGCCATAGAAACCAAGGCTAACCCTTGGATCCATCGATAACTAGAAGCAACTGTTTATGTTTGATATATTTAAAATGAAACCTTAATAGATCAGAAAGAAAATGCATGGCATGTTTATGTCCGATTACACTAGAAATCACATGCATGGCGCATTGATTTAAATCCTTTTACATTTAAAGACCAACTTGAAAAAAGTTGGACGTCAGGGAGTAAATTTATGGAAATGGCAGAAAGCACATTTAATATTGTTTGTTGAAGATAGGTCAGAATAGGTGGTTGAAGAAACTGAGAGGCCAATGCATTTAATAAAAACTGTACAAGAAGGGAAAGGAGAAAGAAAAGAAATACAATACATAACAAGAATTGAGTAAGCATCAATGTTACACACTTCCAAGAAAGAAAGAAAGAGCCATGATGGGATTTTCATAAATCCGGTGCCTGCCTGTGTACTCAACACAGATCAACGGGCCGAAAGAAACTAGGGAAGAAATGAAGTGAATAGTTTATGAAAATCCAAGGACAACAACCTGAAGACCAAGCAAATGGCTATCTGTAGAAAACTTCCCAAGTCATAACATAACATACAAGAATTTCTATCCTACTGCTGAGCATAGAATGATAGATAGATGACTTCGCTTGAATACGAAACCTGTTCCCTAGGAGGGCATGGAGTTGAATGATGGTTTGCTCTTCTTGCAAGCTGAACTTTCCTCTCTTTATATCAGGCCTAAGATAATTGGTCCATCTCAGTCTGCAGCTCTTACCACACCTCTGAAGTCCTGTAGGCAAAACAGCATGGATTACAGGATATATCAGTGAACTAAGCTGCAAACACTTGTACTAGTATTGAAAAAAAAATCAGAAAATTACCAGCTTTTGCTGGCAAGGCACGCCAGCTTCCATGGCCGTGTTCTTCGATATAAGCTAAAAGTTTCTGATCCTCCTCAGGAGTCCATGGCCCTTTCTTTAAGCCCACCTTGTCGCAGCATGGTGACCGACCCATTCGGAAGTGTAACACTAAAGACTGTAGTAGCTTCTCCTCTTCTTTATATAGCACAACGGGAGAAAGCTATGGAGAGAGGAAAGGAGGGGAAGGGCTGTGACTAGTAAATGAAGAGATGGGCAGAGAAGAGAGGTCAGCGGCATAAATGGGATAAGAAATTAATTTGACAGAGCATATGTGAGCTATCATTACAAGAGTACCCTTACAACTGAGTTCTGCGTTTATATCCCGCCTTTTGGCCTCGTGGATTTGCAAATGCATTGGCGTTGTGGTATAAAAGGGTAGAAACGAAAATAGAGTGGTTCCGTTGTCTTTTCATGACGCTAGACTAGAATTTTAATCCAAGCGACAATAATGAGCCACCAAGAAGAGCCACCAAGTGATAGCCATAACTTTTTAGTAACACGTCACCCAAAATTTATGGCATAGCTAGGGCCGGCTTTAATTATTCATCATGTGGGTCCACACGAATTTTTATTTTATCCGTCCATCGATTGCCATTTAGATTTCTTTTTTTTTTTTAGAATAATATAAACTACACAAACTTCTGTTCATAGCAAAGTGAGGGAGCATATGGCAGAATAGAACTGACTTACGGAAGGGTTTGAAGTTAAGCTTAGTTTCAGTGAAGCTCAGCCAGAGAATTCACTTATATGGTCCTTCCAGAGTGCAAACAACAAACATCAGGCCACAGCTGCACCATAATTTTTTTTTTTTTCGTATTTTTCTTGTAAGGTTTGACACAAAAAGTCGACTGAAACTTTACCTATAGTCAGTCATAATTTAGATCAATTATAGTCCCTACAGCAATCTAGTGTCTTTACCAGCCACCAAAGCAGTCCATTAAAGGTCAACTACAGCCTAGCAACGGATCACAGAGAGTTCCAGTCCTGATGTGCGCGACTGCTGCTTTTTACCCTTCTGGGTAAAAAATGCCTGGTCTTGTGTGCCTTGGTCAATCAGATCAATAGATAGGAAGGAGAATTATATTATAATTTCACATAAAAAATTAATTACTGTAAAATTTAATTATAATTAAATTAAAAAAATTAATAATTGATTGTGTTGCCAATCCTTTAATTTAATTGTTAACGAATTTTATAATAATTAATTTTTTTATGTGAGACTTGAATATAATTCTTCCTGAATAAAATCTACTAGGATGTCATATAGCCACGCCACCAAACAAACTAAATGGTTTGCATTAATAAGTCCAATAAGATAGCTTTGATTAGCACACTTTTGGTGGGGAACTCTTTTTTATTACACGTAAATAATATCACTTGGTATAAGTTTTAATAAATATAAAATATTAATATATTGATTATTCTTTGGGTTTTAATCAAGTTAAAAAGGCAGGGGGGGTTACGTCTTGTGATAAGATGAAAATGAAATAAAGGGTCATTGACTGAAAACAGAGTCACAGACTATACCTGGACAGGATCACTGACTTGAGGGATGCGTTTTGCAAAATGACTACGATATGCGTTTTGATGCTAGCCCCTATACATGAAATCAACCCAGTGCATCGCACAGGCAATGATCACTGTTATACCGTCGCAACTACTAAATGAAGGCCTAATTTTGCTAAAACACTGAGGCAAATCCCTCCTCATAATCTTTTTCAGTTGCATTAATTTATGTCCATTTTGCAATGGCACATATAGAGAGGTCCCAATGAGAAAGTATCTAACCGAATTAGTAGCATTTGTTCTAACATCAGCGGCAGAGATACTGCAGAAGCCTATTGTCGTGAAAAGTCTTATTTTCACATTGTGGAGCTACCCTGGCTTATAGAGTGCCACGAATAGGTAAGAATGAGCAGACCCAGTTCACGGAGGACTTTACTTCTCTTAAAATTCATTGAAGAACCACTAGTAATATTTTAAGAAAAAGCAGGAGCGCCAAATAAATTAAGAAGGCATCCACGAAAGATGAAGATGGATCTTAACCCATAAGTTGACAGTTACCCAGATCGGAAACTTAGGTGCCAAAAAAGGTGGACACTTTAATCGTTGGGACTGTGATAAACTGATTATACTGAAGAACTTCCTTAACGATTGAGTTTTAATTTGGGGGCAAACACGAGCAATTTATTAAGGTGGGGGCTCTGAGGCTGCGGGAAGGCACCTTGAAGGATTTGGCGCATGAAAAGACAAAAGAAGGGCCCCTCGGTGAAAAAGAGCCGATACAGAAAAACTTAAATGTGTATATACGTTGTGAGATGGAAAGGTCTCAAGGATCCAAGACTCACATAGGCTATAGGAAGGACAACGGGGACACCTTCTTAAATTTTCTTTGATCATTGCCAGCTCTAGCATTGCAATGGTCCAGCACAGTCATAATGATCCTATTAAATGAGTGCCCCTTACACTTGTCAAAGTCATACGAGTCCCACGTGGTCGATGCCCGACAGTAAGGGGCGAAAATTGACTCATGAATCGATTTTTTTTTTTTTTCAATTTACCATTGGCATTGCTCTCAGTGCGTTCCAATTCAGTGTTTGCGAGAAATGCTATCATTTTCACCGGAGACATAAATGAGCCAGGCAACGCTTACTGAGTCACAATTCACAAGCACCGTCAACACTAATTTGGCTCCAGTGGGAGAATCGGAATACCCTGTGACCAAAAAAATAATCAAGGTTAAAAGTTAACTTTGTCCTTTATAATTTGAGGAATGAGAGGTATAAAGATCAAGCTTACAAGAAATATATCTGGGCTTATTAAATTTTTTTTATATTAACAATCTCTACTATTTTCTTGTTCTAACAAAAATCTGATTGAGCTAGAGACACCCACGTCATCAATAAAACCCAAGTGAAGCAGATAAAATATTAAGTCACTGTTAATCCGGAGGTGAAGAAACTTCTGATCCTTTACCACTGTCGTAGCAGGTAAATATCTTGACGATGCCTAAATATGATGGTAACATAAATGAAAAACTAAACTCAATAATGCCAGAGGTCAAATTGACACAGGAGATATACAACATAGCGTAGGTAAGCGGGCCTGAACTTATTAAATCACCGATCACAGAGTAAATCACATCTTATTTCTCTACAAGGTTTGTTAGTAGATGAGCGTATAAATTTTTTGTCACGACCCATCATAAAACCATGTCATGAACAAAGGTGTCTTTTTCACCAGAGAAAACACGTCCAAAAAGATTATAATGAAGGCATCATCAGGTGACACCGACTTTTAAGGTTTTAAAGCATAACCTTGAGTAGGTTGAAACTTTTGATTACATTCAAGTGCGCGATTGTTAATTTACTTAAATGTGTTTCCAGATTCAGAATAGATTCCTTCCACTGGTGATCAAAATCCCTAGGCTTGCATTCAATGTTTGAAAATGATAATGCTGCTGGGCTCATCCTTACATCTCATGGCTGCACCTAAAATTATCCATCCTAATGAGGGAGCTAACTTTTTCTAAGTCATCTCCTTTTTTCATTAAAGTTTAGGATAGACTCACCAGAAAAAGAAATCGGTGGAGTTCACCCCATTAATCTATTTTTTACTTTTCCTTGAAAGCGGTGACCATCAAGCTAGTAAAAGGGTTAAGATTTTGCAACCATTTCCTGGCGATGGTGAACAAGACCAGGTCACATTAGAAACCCTGTAACTCGGCACAGTGTGTAAGTTTATGTAGGGTCCATATATGTGAAAGTGAAAGTGTGAAACCCAGCCGTTGAATTAGTACCAAGAATTCAAATGCACCTCGGAGTAAGAGACTGCACTTACAAATCACTCACTCCAAGTGCATATAGGAATTTCTTAAAAATCAGGTTGGTTTTTCAAGCACCCTGGAAAATTAGCTTGTTCATGTCAAGTTCGATAGTCGAAGCCATATTGGAAGAAACAATATATAGACATCAAAGTTCATTTAGAGACTTGAGTGAATCAAAATGAGAACGACAGTGATACCCAGCATGCACGAAGGCTTCAACAGAAGTTCTCCTAAAATAAGTAACTAAAGAAAGAATTTCAGATAACCATGATCTTCCTTAGCCAGCTGGTAACTGTCATATGTCATAGAAGGAACGAAATAAGCTTCTGTGATCTTAACTCCAACGATTTATGAATTCTTGCTCATGTCTCCCTTCCTCATAACCATGGCATTCTTCTGGAGTCATCCCTTTTTGGCCAGCAGCTTGCCCCATCCTTATTCTAGTTTCCAATCCAAATTTAAATGCAACTTCCCAATACATAATGAACTCGTCTTAATTTTGTGCTGGTCGTACCCAACCGCATAAACTGGGTTTGATCAATTTCATAAATGGGAGAACGACGACAAAAGACAATGTAAAGGAATTAACACAAAATGGGAATCTCGTTTACTACGGAAATCTCAAATTTTACGACTCAAGCTTTTATACTTGCACTCTATAGGTCTCATTTTACATTAATCTTCTTGCAAGGTTTTTAATCGTCATTCACTCATTCTTCCTTCATAAACCATGAGGTTCCTAATCGACCATTATTTCCATCTACCTAGACCGTGGTCCAACTTATTAAAAAGAAATGGAACGGAGTCTACCTCGTGCATTCCAGAAAGAAATTGATTGAACGGAATTCCTCAAACAAAGGGAATATAAATCCTAACTGTTAAATGATTATGAAAATTTGAGAAGGGAAATACAATCAGGGAGTTCGTATAAATACACGTGGGTTAGGTTTTCGATAGTTTACCTCTGAAACTTGGTTTTGTCTGTAGCTGACTTCCTCCATAACGTTCGCTAAACCCGTCGCGAAGAGAACCTTCCATTTTTTTTTTTTTTAAATAAAAGGCCACGGAAAAACCATGCAGATAGACAAATTAAGTCATATCAGCGTACAAAATGTGACTACAATCAGTAGGAGGATTATTAAAAATCTGAACAATTGAGTTGTTGGGAGAGGCTTGATGAGTCATCCAATATGTGCATTTGTTAGCTTCTCTGAAAACATGATCAAAAGTGACAGTCCAATCATACATAAGAAGGTCTCTAATTTTGTTAATAGTTGTAACAAGTGGATGAGTATTAGAAAACTCATTGTGAATGAATGTAATTGCTTCAGTTGAGTTCGAGAATACATTAACTCTATTAAACTTCTCAGCTCAACAAATAGTGAGTCCTTCAAGAATGCCCATAAGTTCGGCCACCGTGCTGGGATGGTAATCAAGAAATTTAGAGAAACCTTTGATCCAATTGTCGTGGTTATCTCGAATGAGACCATCACAAGAAGCAGCCCCTTGATTGCTGACAAAGCCATCTACATCAAGTCTTACCCACTCTTTTTCAGGGGGGAACCATTTGGCCTTAATTCTATCATCCTGTTGAGTCAAAAAATTGATTCTAGATTGGAGGTATTGGTCATTGAGGATATCTTGTATGCTGGTGAAAGCAATGTCTCTCTCATGGGTATCATCTTCAGAGTAAATGATTTTGCACCTCTCTTTTCAAATATTCCAACACACGTGAGCGAAGAGCTTTTGCCAAGGGATACTACGTGATCTTGCATTTTTCGCTTCTCTTTTTGCATTCTAGAGAATTCATTCCTGTAAAGATAGAGAGAAGAAAGTATTAAGTTTAGTTTTTTTAACTAGTTTTAACCAAACCTCTTTAGATCTTTTGCAATCTCTCAAGATATGAGTGGTGGAATTTAAAGAATTACAACCAAAAGGACAAGTTTTGAGAGAAGGAGTATTCCCATTAAAATATGAGATTTTAGGTTGAAGTCGATCCCAAACTGCCTTTCAGAGAAAGGACTTGATCTTCTCATAAGTTGGCCACTTTCAAATTTTAGACCAAATTTCAAGGCTAGTGATATCACAGTGAGATTCTATGACCTTGTAAGCAAATTTGATAGAGAAGTTGCCATCGTTTAAAGGTCTCCAACATATAACATCATCATCTGCATTCAAGTTAGGAGGTTGCACAATAGTGATAAGTTTCAAGATTTCTGGATGTAGATATGTGCGCAGTTGGCTTACTTTTCAAGAACCATAACCTTCCTTTGTGTTTCTTTTACTACTCTGATGTTTCCCACTTTCCCTGAACATTTTGCGCGCCAAATCGTCTCTGTTGAACAGATTGGATTCTTTTGCCTAAGAAAAAGAGGGAACAAATTGGGTTCCATTTTCTCAGAAGGCCCAGTTTTGGGTTCATCGAACAGGTCTAGCCCATGCTAAAAGGGCCAATATTGGTTGGCAAAAAAAAGAGGCCTGGCTCATCGGACATCCTCATACCTTTAGATACCTTTTACGGTTTTGACAAAAGTTCTTATCCATAGTATCATAGAAAAAAAAGTTCTTATCCATGTATAATTATGGTTCGGTTAAGGAGAAAATATGCCATCTTGTTAAATTAGGTTGAAAAGTTAAATAGTGTTTATGAAAAAATATCTTAGGGAAATTTTTATTGTTGGGTTTGATAATACTAATTGGATCTAACACGAGGATTTTGGATTTCAAATAACTATATTAAAAAATTTGTCTTTGTAATTTTTATAACAAAAAATAACTCTGACATTGCTTCTATTGATACTTTATGACATTACTTGAAGTAGATCTTTTGTATCAGGTAAAACTTGAAAAATGAGTTCCATAGTTTATAATAGTTACGGTTTTTATGTTTTATATTTAAAATTTGTGGCCAGTAAAAAAAATATGGGTCACGACGAGAGACATACAAATATATGACTTATTTTCCATGGCAAACAAGCACGGCTTAATTAAATGGACCACTTAAATTAATCTTTTTTTAATGGTTAGCCATCATTCATTTGAAATGCAAGTGAATAAAAATTTGTAGATCATGATATTATGCAGACTTTTCCCCCCTAATTTTTGTAAATGATATATGTGTTTTTCCGTATTAAAAAATTTGGCATAGATTTTTAAGACTTTTTTTAGAATGTGGCCCATTCATATCTATTTCCTTCTGTGGGTTATGTATTGATGTAAAAATTTTCGGAACAAAATTGATAGTTTCACAAGGTAGACAAAGTAATGGAAGGTGAAAGCTTACGACTTTTTATTTGTTGAAATTGTTCCTTATTTATACCGAGACTGTATGGATGCGCATGTACACTGATACTCGCATCACATGATTTGGTGTTTACTTGTCCTCGCATGCTAATTTTTTGGAGTTGGCTTCCCTCTGTGGAGGAGCCCTTTCTGCCTATGAGGATGCAAATAGTACAGATGTATTAGGGGTGTTCATGGGACGGGACGGGACCGGGACACCCCCGTCCAGTGTCCCGTCCCGAAAAAAAAATTGAGACTGAATTTTGGTCCCGTGTCCCGTCCCGTCCCGATAGTCGTCCCGTCCCGTTAAGAGTCGGGATGGGACCGGGACAAGATTGAAACGTCCCGCCATCTCGATAAATAGAATAATATCGAAAAAAAATTTGAATAATAACGTTCATTAAAATTTTAAATCATATAATTTATTAAGTTTAAAATCAGAACAACACAAGCACATAAATAACAATAATTTAAAATCAATTATTGAATTATATTAATCATAACTACATATTATAATAACAAATACAAGTGATCTTTATGCTATAAGATTAATAACAACAGGCAAGTCAAACACAACATCAAATCATTATTCTTCTACTTTAGTGAAGATGAAATAAGCTAATTATTCTTCTAAAAATAAGCAAGAAATATATTATAAATAAAGGTTATTAAATAGATACATATAAGAATAAATTATATTAATATAATTAATATATTATAAAGAAAGATATCGCCATATTTACTCCATGCTATTAAAATTATCAATATAAAAAAACTTTAGTTTTAAATAAGAATTGCAAATATTAAAATTATAATTGATATAATTAATATAAGTATAAATTATATTAATATAATTAATATATTTAAAATAAAAAATAATATATATAATATTCGAGACGGGACGGGACGTCCCGATAGTAATCCCGCGTCCCGTCCCGTCCTGAACCCCTTTCTTATCCTGTCCCGTAAAGTCCCGTCCCGATTATTTTCGGGCCGGGACAAGACCCGTCCCGATATGATCGGGACGATACCGGGTCAATCAAGACGGGTCTAGCTGAACACCCCTAATATTTAATATTTTTATTTTTATTTTAAATTTATTAAAATAAAAAAATTATTTGATCATATTAAATGTGGATTGTAAATTGGTAAACAATTTTATTAAAAAATCATATAATTTATATAAATTTTTATTTTTTAACAAAATAAAAATAAAGAATGTTTATTAAGAACGAAACCAACTCTTGCTTTTTATGCACCCTGTTTCGTTAGTTTTTCGGAGTATTATATTCAAAAAAAATTTAAAAAAAATTATTTGTAAACAAGAATTAAATTGCGACTTGTTTTCTTTTAAATGATAATTTATTGTTAATTCTTATTTGAAAATAATTTTGTGGGCATGGTTCTGCCTTAGTTTTTCACCAGCTGAATGGGTTTGGCCCACTGATAATACAACCCAACGGTCATCCTGCCACGTGTCTCCACTTGTTAATGCCATTCTCGAAATTAGAAACAGTGGGGAGCGCCGGGGAATTTGATGATCAGAAAAAGAACCAGCGACGGCGGCATTAATCGCCGCAGGCGACTGAGTATATGGCAAAAATGCACCAACTTTCGAACTCTGAAGCAGATCCACGCTTGCATGATCATCAATGGATTCAATTCAAATGTTCGATACCTCAGAGAACTCATTTTCACGAGTGCCATGGAATTTTTGGGCACTATGGAGTATGCCCACCAAGTGTTTGCTCATATTGCTGAACCAGACATTTTCATGTGGAACACCATGATCAGAGCCTCCGCTCAAAGCTCAAACCCCCTAAAGGCCGTTGCTCTGTATGCCCAAATGGATAATCAAGGTAGAAAGCCTGATAACTTCACTTTCCCCTTTGTGCTTAAGGCTTGCACCAAGCTTTCCTGGGTTAAGACGGGTAATGCAGTTCATGGAAGGGTTGTGAAATTCGGGTTCCAGTCAAATCCATCTGTACGAAATACTCTTATATTCTTTCACGCTAATTGTGGAGACTTGAAGATTGCAAGCGCACTTTTTGATGATGATGCGAAGACGGACGTAGTTTCATGGTCAGCACTAACCGCGGTATATGCCAAGCGAGGGGATCTGACTGTGGCGCGTCAACTATTTGATGAAATGCCCGTAAGAGATTTAGTTTCTTGGAATGTAATGATAACTGGGTATGCTAAGCAAGGAGAGATGGAGAGCGCGAGAAAGCTGTTTGACGAAGTTCCAGAGAGAGACGTGGTTACTTGGAACGCAATGATCGCTGGTTACGTGCTTCGTGGCTCGCATGAACAGGCGTTAGATCTGTTTGAGGAGATGAGAACAGTTGGGGAACGCCCAGATGAAGTGACAATGTTGAGTCTGTTATCTGCTTGTGCCGATCTAGGAGATTTGGACATCGATCAAAATATACATAGCTACATCTTGGAAATGTGTTCGGGAGAGTTAAGCACAATAATTGGGAATGCACTTATTGACATGTATTCCAAGTGTGGAAGCATAGAAAAGGCGATTGAAGTGTTCAGAGCAATTAGAGACAAAGATGTGACCTCGTGGAACTCAGTCATAGGAGGCTTGGCTTTCAATGGCCATGCTGAGGAAACACTTGATATGTACAGGGAGATGCAGATGACCACAATCAGACCAGATGAGATCACCCTTGTGGGAGTCTTGGCAGCTTGCAGCCATGCCGGTAAAGTTGATGAGGGTTATCGATATTTTGACCATATGAGAAGTGAGTGTAAAATTGAGCCCAACATTAAGCACTATGGTTGCATGGTAGACATGCTGGGACGTGCTGGACTATTGAAGGAATCGTTTGATTTCATAGACTCAATGAAGATTGAACCTAATGCAATAGTATGGAGGACTCTGCTTGGAGCTTGCAGAGTTCATGGAAATGTGGAGTTGGCAAAACTGGCGAACGAAAAGCTTCTTGGAATGAGAAAGAACGAGAGTGGTGACTACGTATTGCTGTCTAACGTATATGCTTCAAGAGGTGAGTGGGATGGGGCTGAGAAATTAAGGAAAGTAATGAATGAGAGTGGCGTAAAGAAGAAAACTGGGTACAGTTTAGTTGAAGCAGATGACAGGTCTCTGATGCGTTATTTATTTGACTCAAGTCGTAAGTTGAGATCAAGAAGCCAAATATAGCCGCGAATTGGGGATAAGATGCCATCAGATCCCATGTTCTACTCGGTTCATATGTATATTTTGTTGGATATTTATAGGTTTCTTTTGACAATAATATTACTTAGCTGGGAAAATGGCTGGAACATGTCAATGGGATTGAGGGTTCCATTCTATATTACGGGAATGTCTTCATTTTTCAGTCACAACCAATAACCTATATGCACTCGCTTCTACATTTTGCAGTGTATGATACAGCTAACCGGTTGAATCCCTGTTAAAGGAAAATCGCAGTTGATCTAGTCAAAATTTGTAAGTCAGCAGAAAAGGAAATACATCTAACGACCAATTTCAGATCTTTGTTGAACAAGAAATTATTTATAATTTTTCAGTAACAAAATATTTTTAAGGTCTTAATGAGATTCAATAACAACAACAACAACAACAACAACAAGCCTTTATCCCACTAGGTGGGGTCGGCTACATGGATTGCAAGACGTCATTGTGTTCTATCATTTATTAAGCTTTTAGAAATATTATTAATTAAGAGATCACGTTCAACAACTTCCAAGAGTGTTCTCTTAGGCCTTCCTCTACCTCTCTTAATCGGACTCAAAGTTATATGTTCCACTCTTCTCACTGGTGCCTCCCTTGGTCTTCTTTGTACATGCCCAAACCATCTCAACCGATTTTCTACCATTTTTTCCTCAATAGGTGCCACCCTCACTTTTTCACGTATGTGCTCATTTCGAATTTTATCTTTACGTGTATGTCCGCACATCCATCGTAACATTCTCATCTCTGCTACTCCAACTTTATGCTCTTGCTGTCCCGTTAGAGCCCAGCATTCACTACTATATAACATTGCCGGTCTGATAACAGTACGATAAAACTTTCCTTTAAGTTTATTAGGCACCTTACGGTCACAAATAACTCCTTTAGCTTTTCTCCAATTAAACCACCCAGCTTGAATTCTATGTAAAATATCTCCACTGATTTCGCCATCATTTTGAATAATGGCTCCCAAATATCTAAACTTTTTCACTTGAGGTATAATTTGATCCCCCAATTTCACTTCCAAATTATTTTCGAATAGTCCTTTATCAAATTTACAATATAAATATTCCGTCTTACTTCTACTCAGACGAAAACCTTTCGACTCCAATGTCCTCCTCCATAACTCAAGTTTGCAATTAACCTCTTCTCTTGTCTCTGCTATAAGAACTATATCATCCGCGAAGAGCATACATTTCGGGATTTCCTCTTGAATATGTTCCGTCAAAACATTTAAAATCAAGTTGAACAAATAAGGACTCAGAGATGATCCCTGATGTAGTCCAATCTTTATAGGAAAATCCTTTGTTTGACCACTAGGCGTTCTTATACTAGTTTTTACCCCCTTATACATATCTTGTATGGCTTTAATATAAGCAATCCGTACTCCCTTTTTTTCCAACGCTTTCCAAAGCACTTTTCTTGGTATACGGTCATAAGCTTTTTCCAAATCAATAAAAACCATGTGTAGATCTTTATCTTTACAACGATACTTTTCCATTAATCCCCTTAGTAGATAAATCGCCTCTGTAGTTGATCTACCTGGCATAAAACCAAATTGATTCTCAGAAATACTTGTCTCCAATCTCAACCTGTGCTCAATTACTTTCTCCCACAATTTCATTGTGTGGCTCATGAGTTTAATCCCTCTATAGTTAGTACAATTCTGAATATCTCCTTTATTTTTATAAATAGGAATTAATGTACTTTTCCTCCACTCATCAGGCATTTTCTTGGACCGTAAAATCACATTAAATAACTTAGTTAACCATCTCACCCCTTCTTCACCTAAACATTTCCACGCTTCGATAGATATACAATCAGGTCCGTTAGCTCTACCATTTGCCATTTTTTTAAGAGCTTCCTTTACCTCCTTATCACGTATTTTTCGATAGAATGACAAATTTTGTTCTCCTTCACCAGTTACTAAATCCTCCAAGTTACTAGATGAATCCTCTCCATCATTGAAAAGTTTAGAAAAATAAGTCTCCCATCTATTTTTAATTTCATCATCTGTAACTAAAATTCTTCCCTCTTCATCCTTAATACACCTTACCTGTTCTAGATCTCTTGATTTTCTTTCCCTACTCTTGGCAATCTTATAAATATTTTGCTCTCCTTCCTTCGTCTCAAGGTTCTTATAAAATTCTTCAAAAGCTTTAGAACGAGCTTCACCCACAGCTCTCTTAGTTTCCTTCTTAGCCATACGGTACCTCTCCCAATTTTCCTCATTGTTACACAAATGTATGGCTTTAAAACAGTTCTTCTTATACTTGATTTTATCCTGTACACTATTATTCCACCACCAAGACTCCTTATCTCTCGGACCAAAATCTTTCGATTCTCCCAAAACTACTTTTGCAACCTCCCGTATCTTTTTAGCCATATCCTCCCATATGATGTTAGCACTTTCCTGAGAATCCCAAATTCCTTTATCCAAAAGATTTCTCTTGAAAATATCTTGCTTCTCACCTTTTAATTGCCACCACCTAATCCTTGGTGTTACTACTTGTCGACGTTTTTGGATTTTACTCATAATACACACATCAAGGACTAGGACCCTATGTTGTGTCGTTACAGCATCTCCAGGGATCACCTTACAATTTTTACAAAGTTTTCTATCTGTGTTCCTAACCAAAAGAAAATCAATCTGCGACCTTGAGGCTCCACTTTTGTAGGTGATGAGATGCTCGTCTCTCTTCTTGAAACAAGTGTTGGCAATCTTAAAATCATACGCTAATGAGAAATCAAGAAGAGTTTGCCTTTCATTGTTTAGCTCTCCAAAACCAAAACCACCATGCACCCTCGCATACTGACCAGCTTCCCTCCCGACATGCCCATTAAAGTCTCCTCCAATAAAAATCTTTTCACTCTGTGGTATGTGTCGAATCAACCCCTCCAGATCCTCCCAAAATAATTCCTTAAGATTGGCTTCTGTCCCGACTTGCGGCGCATAAGCGCTAACAATATTAACAGTCTCCCGTCCAATTATCATTTTTAAAGAAATAATTCTGTCTCCAATTCTGCTAACTTCTACAACGTTCTTCTTCCACTCCTTATCTATAATGATGCCTACTCCATTGCGTGCACTTACTTTTCCTGTATACCAAAGTTTGAAATCTTGAATATCCTTAGCTTCTTCTCCACGCCATTTTGTTTCTTGCAAGCAAAGGATATTGATTTTCCTTTGAATCATAACCCCTACAACCTCTACAGATTTACAATTTAATGTCCCAACATTCCAAGTACCAAATCTAATTTTGCTCTTATGGACTAACTTCTTTAGCCGCGTGCGTCCAGAATGACGCGGTAGCCCTTGCTCATTTAACACTACATCCGGGCGCCGATGCAGCGGCTCTAACTCACTTATCACTGTACTCGAGCCATGCAGCGCGTTACTTACGGGCAACGACCTAGCATTAACATTATAACGTCTATTGTCCATGTTCATGATAGATTCAACAAATTTTTACATTGGCTGTTGATGGCCTAACACAACCCTCCTCCTTTACCCGGGCTTGGGACCGGCTATAAACATAGGCGGAGTTCTTAATGAGATTCAATGTTTATGCTAAAAAAAAAAAAGAAAAAAAGTATAGATGTTTTTTTAATTTTTAGGTAGAATTATATGAATGGATTAAAAGTGAATGAAGTTTAGTTTAAAAGAACTTCAAATTATTCCAGATTTCAGAAGGACCATAAACCGATATCTAAATTTCCATTGACTACCAACACTTAGATCAATGCTTGCAACTCCAAATTAAAGTTCTCTTTCATACAACAAATTAATGCTTCTCTTTTCAACTAAATAATTTAATTCAGTCGCAGTTCCAAAATTAGTAAATGAATGAATTAGGCCCTTTTAAAATCTCAAAATCATTTTATAAGAATGAATTGTGTGCAATAATTATCTATTTATCATTTTTAACTTCTACGCTAAAAAATTTTAAAAACTAGTTCAATGATTTTAAAGTTAAAATATTAACGAGACAACGGAATCATGACCCTTTCAACATTCATGAACGTAGGTCATATTAAATTAATCTTGCATTAAATATTGTATGACCTGCCCTCTGACAGTGAAACAAGAGTTGACTTTGCCAGAAAACCAGAACAGAATTCCAAGATTGGTTCTTCAACCATCAAAACGTGACAGAAGAGGGTTCTTCCTGCATCAAGTGAAAGAAGCAAAACTCAGCAGGAGGAGGAGACGAGAGTCTCTGATCTTGAAAAAGAAATGAGTCAGAACATGATTGCCCTTCTGATTGGATCTGTTGGTGCAGTATTGACCTTATCTGCATACTCACAAACCTTCATATCCCCAACTCAATGCATCACACTTGGCCTGATCGTCCTCGTGTTTGGTTTGCTCGTACGAGAAGGTCTATTATCTATCTAGTTCCTCATCCTTTCCTTGTCTGGGTTTTACTTTCCTCTTGCTGTCTCAATTTTCTCACTAATCCTGAAGTTCACTACGTCTCTTGCTTATATGTAATGTTTTTTAATTTGTTTCATATTTCAAATGCGAACCTAATTCTGTGAGTTTTATGTTATGAGAAGTCTCCCTTCAATGATATATCGATTAATAAGGCTCGGCCAATTTGACCTTCTGGTCTAACTGGTAACATACACCAATCTTGATTACTGGAGTTGCTAAAGTCCACGCAAACAAAGTAACACTATTAGCCTTGACAGGTTTTGCAATATTCAGATGGTAGGAAATGTTAGAAAATATATATGACCTTTTTATTATTTCCCATTAAGAAAAATGTTCCATCACTTCCATGTGAATTAAGCCCTTGAATATCTTGACATCAAAGAAGTAAGAACCTTGACACAACCGCATACAGTAGCTAGGGCGTTCCTTGTTTCCTTAATTTTTCCAGATCAATTTTGCAGGTATTCTTTCTCGTTCGCAATGTATGAAGCAATCTTGAGAAATCGCATCCCTAAGGAAAAAAGAACCATGAAAACATCAAAAGAAAAGAAATGTTACATAAATTCATTTTTCCTTTCTTTCTTTCTCTCTGTCCTTTTTTGAGGTTGGGGGTGAGGGTGGGGGGAATAGAAGCTCACTATGGATGGAAACTTCCTACGGAAGCACATGAGAAATCAGATAGAATGGTAGAGAAGCTTCCTTTTGCATGCTGCATATGGATAATAACACTGTAGTCACAACTCATTACTGCAAAAATAAAAATAAAAAGGTAACCTAACCCTGTGAGTCGTGTACATTGGCCACGGAAAACTGCAACTGATCTCGTTTATTGAAAAGTTGTTATGGTAGCCAAGAATACAAACAGTAACAATAGCTTTGTAGGTGCTGAAACCGTTGGTGACAAGTACTTACCAGTCCATACATGCGCAACGACTTGGAATCATTTCAATAACATTCCTAGCAGGAAGACATATCAAATCCCTCGCACTGTATGAGCATAAAATAATACAAAAATAAGCAGAAAATGGTACAAAACAAATTGCATGAAGAGACATTATTTTAATGTTTAGAAATTTTAAGCAGTAGTAGTCACTGCTTCAAGCATTGGTGCAAAGCCAGGGGAAAATTAACGCAAACTGGCCGCTGATAATCCCAGCCAAATTCAGCAAAACGAATCAAATCAACCTGAGGAGAAATTTGAAGCTCAAATATATAGCTGTTTGAGTATAAACTTTTGTACATTTTGCCATGTTTTCAGCTGGCATGCAAATCCATTAAACTTAACCTTGAAGCAGTTTTCAGTTGCATCAGTCAGTCCCGGTATTTTGAGTAGTCCGTGTGATCTCCAGAAGCGAAGGTTAGGCTTTTTCATCCAAAAATCTAGCATGAGAAAATGAGGGTTTTATGTAGCCAGAGATGACTTGCCGGTCACTTTTGTAGCATATAATAAAGCTTGCCGGCAAGTCATCCTTGGCTGCATCACATGACCTCATTCGCACATGCTAGACCTTTGATGAAACTTTTAAGGAACAATAAACCCAAAGTAACTATTTTCACCACAGAAAAAAAGAGGCAGTGGAGAATCTGATTGTGTGGTGTGGCCAATGAAATGAAAGTATATCACTGGCACGAACACAATGCTGCTGAAGGAACTTTCCCGAATGAGGAAGACAGCAATCCCTATTAAAACGAAGATCAATAAACAGACCCTTCTATTTGTTGACTGATAGAGAAGGAGGAGGCAATTGGACTACAATGCCGTGCTTGGCAGGGAATATGGACCAATGGGGTCTTTGAGGTTTGCATAAAGAGATTGCTTACACAAGTTGGGAAGCAAACGCATACATTAATGGGGGCCAGCATTTTCTGCAGTGGGGACAGCCCAACAACAGTCCCATTGTTGTCCTTTGCCTAAAAGGGTATGAGAAAAAAGTTGAGCAACTGGGAGCTTTCTTATTGCTAGATGTGACTTTCCTTTGGTGAAAGAGCCAAGAAATATTTAAAGAGAAGGCAAAGCTTCAGTAGATGCAAATACATTTTGACCAAAGAAAACTGCAAGCCCATCGCTTAGGCTCTGGATAGGTTACAGTTGAAGAGACAGTACCTCACTAGGACTTGTACCATCCATTCACTTTAAAGAGTCCATTGTCAGTCACTCAGTTGAGGTAGGTGGATTTGAATAGCTACAACGGGACGTGAAGAAACAAACCACGATTATTTCTGGCAAACTGGTGAGGGTTTCGCGGGAAAAAGCTCTGAATTCTTGTTCCCTTGCAGACACAACCTTTTCTTCAAGGAGAATTACGCGTAAATCACAGCATAATAAATGCTGCAATGTTGCGCCCGTTTGAATTTTAATTGAATATAATAAATTATAAAAATAATTAATTAAATAATAATTTTAATTATAATTAATTATGTTATAACTTAATCTATTTGAATACTTATGTTAATAATTTTTTTAAAGATCCAAATTTTATTAAAAAAAAGAAGAAGAAAAAAATTTTGCTTCAGTTTTATTAAATTTTGTGCTTTTTTTATAATTTTTTTAAACCTTTTATGTAATTTTTTCATATAACTTTGCAATAAAAACATGCAGAAGCTGAGAAGCTGAAACTTGAAACTTTGAAAAAAAATCAATTTTAAAAAAAGGTTGATATTTGGATAAATTATGAATTAATCAATTTTTTTGTCCCTAAAATCGATTAATCTCTCAATCCAAACAGGCACGTTCACAATTCATGTTACTTTGCCACGCTCATTTGTTAGTGAATCTCATGATATCTAATTATATTATCAAAAATTTAAATATAATTCTTCTTTATTCTAAGTTTTATCTGTTTGTACAGTAGCGATACTAGCAAAATTTATTGGAGCTATTGATTCTGCAACAATAAATACTACAACGCACGTTGAATGCTTCGGCATTCAGTCCCTTTGACTTGTTTAAGTTCATATACTTGTTTTAAACCATTTCGACTAACAAAACTTCGGGTCCAGATAATCACATGGATTTTTTTTTTTATCGGTAATTTTACAAAGTTTTTGATACTCGCTTAAGACGTCAGAGAGTAGCGACGCGGTGATATGATTTAGCAAATTAATGCATTGCCTTCTTACCAGGCAGCAGAACATCAAGGTTTACAACATCATTATTAATAATTTGTTTTATTGGCCACAGTCAAAAGCGCCCAATACGAGAAAATCACACCTTAAACAGTGATAGTTTTTGACTCTCAAACATGGACACTCATTCTACATATAAATGCGCAAAACAAGGAAATAGTTGTAATCATATCAAAAGGAATTGATATCCACTTCTCATCGCTGCTTCATCGAATTCCAAAATTTATTATTATTATTATTATTATTATTATTATTATTATTATTATTATTTAGATTAGATTTTTGCTGCCTAATTAACAGCTCAATCAGCAAAGCAGAATCGTTGGGAAACTGACGGCCCGTAATTTTGCCTGCCCATAAATTGTATTTGTATATGCTTAAAACGCCCTGCCAAATGATTGAACGAGTTACAAAGAACCTGAATATATTTTACCCCCAAAAAAAAAAACAGAACCTGTATCATTTTGCTAAAACTGCATGTTAGCAAATCACAATTAAAAAAAAAATCTTCAAAATCATATTGTGAGCCTAACACATCAACAACTAAATTTCAATCGCTAACGGTCCTTCCAAAATATTACTTGAATAGTTATCAAGGCTTCACGAATCATAAGGATGGCACCAAAACATTTTATTCATACTATGAAACTACGTGAAACACATTAAGATATCTAAAATTAATTTCGGTTGTCCTACCCTCTTTAGTCCATCAGAGCCTTTGTAAAAGAAAAAACTGATGGAATTTTTAAATGCCATAATGCTGATTAAGCTCACAAAAAGACTATGCAACGGGTACATAGTTTGAGACATCGAATAATATACCACATTGGTAGCTCAGAAAGCAGATGAAAAGACAAATATTTCTGGATCACCAAAGATAAAACATGCCTTCCAATACACTGTCTTAGTCAAGTTAGCTTTTGACTTCAATCTTACCTAGCAGAGCGAGTTGCAATACATTCATACCATTATCAACTCAACAAATAAGTACCCTTAAACTTTTAAGAAGGAAGTTTCACAGGCAAATAATGCAACATACCGTCACCTGCTTCCAATTATATAGATAGGGAAAGAAATTGGCACCTGCAATACAGATGACACAAGGCTCCACCAAAATTTGATGCAAAGAACAACTTACCAGGAATAGGAATCAACATCATTAAATTCAAATAACCAAAAAGTTCAAACTGCAAATTATGCGAAACAATTAGGAAAACAAAAGCCAAAAGCAATGGTACAAATATACAACTATCAAGGATCATAGCAACATAGAATATGTAGTTCTAAAAACATAAATTAGAATCAGAATGCAGCAACAAAGGTTCGTGACTTTATAGGTTCTTGGGAGCACAAGTTATCAAGATTGGGAATTATGGTAAAAAGGACATGGCCAATTTTAATAGTCTCCATGTATGTTTGGTCCATAGGTAGAAGCGTCAAGGAGGGCCATGAGTTGGACAAACCCTGGTTCATCTGGTCCTCTGGTTAAGGCAGTAGGCAGGCTTCAGGCTTCATAAATCTCAGCTGTTTGGATGGGAAGGGAAAGGCAACAAGGGAAAAGAAGAGCATCAGAATTCTACGTGGGACATTGGTCAGGTTAAGATATCAAACTTCCATGTACAAATGTGAGAAAGCTATATCATAGGCAAATCCCAGATAAAAAGACAAAATGGATTAAAATTGTAGTCTACCTGCAGGTACCCATCAACCAAGTTTTAGTAACCATTGTTTCTCCTGCGAGAAACATTGTTCTGACTAGACAACCTGATAGGAGATGCTAAACATCAGCATAATGAACTTGCAGATCTTAGAATAAAATATCAGAAAGTGTAGCGTCTTCACAACATGGACAAGGTCAATAAGGAGTCTTGGTCCCCCCCCCTTCTGATGGCAAAAGCTGGTCCATGTATTTTCATATGAAATATCATGACTCTGGAAAATATTTTAAGCATAAAATAGTTGCCTATAAAACAGTTTCAGGTTAGAATGTTTTCCTCTTTTTAGCAAAAGGTTAGAATATTTTCCTAAAGAATACATTAGCTGAAAAAGGTTTTATAAAAATTATGCATCCTCCTGTAAATTTTTCTAGAATTTGATTTGTTCCATCAGAGATGAACTCATTTTCCCCTTCATGAAAGGGTGGGTGTCAATTGACCAAAAAACACAACACTTAACAAGAAGTCCACATTACCAAAACAAACACACCCTAAAACAACATAAATCAAAACCTTTAGTTGCAAGGACTTTTTTATAAATAATACTCCACCTGGTCCTCGTTGTAAAAATCTACCAACAACTTTACATGGAGAAATGAATTCAGTTAAAATTTCGTTAATGCTTTTAAAATTTCAAAATAACCCTCAATGAAGTTCACTAACTAGAGGAGGTTATTGAGTTAGCTTGAAGATGGTTTAGTTTGTTAAGGATTATCAAAGTAAAGGACATTAGGGGAAAAACTTAATGCTTTAGTCAAAAGATCTTATACTAAGGACCATAGGAAAAGCCCTTGAAATAAGGACCTGAGGGAGTAAAACATAAGTTTCAAACAAGACTCACTTCATAGCTCTCAGCAAAACCCTTCAGACCTTACAATAAGATCACAAAGCCACAATAATTATCATATATTGATCTAAGTAGTGAAAATCTCAAACAAAAAATCCATTACTCAAGGAAACAAATATCAGAGCATGGGGGAAGATAAGTTACCCAGAGATGCTAGTCCGTCCCAAAGAATAACTTCCATAGGCTCCATAAGCACTGCTGCTGCCAAGCTATAGATATTTGGAACATTATTATGGAAAAAGGGTAAGAAATAATAGTTGAATATGCAACTTAAGACTCATCCAGATGTAATCTTCTTGGAATTTCATGGTAGTAGACAAGTACCTGTAAACTGCCATAGCTTCCAAAACCATCACCAGCTTCCAAATCATTTGAGCCAACATACCCACTTTGATACAAGGGTCCACGTCCATGACGTTTGCCATCTCTATTGTCATAGTCTGAGCCATCTGTTGAAACAGGAACATATGGCAACACTGGAAGAAATGTAGGAACTGAACCCTCTTTATCAAAAAGATTTGCTCTTAACCGTGTGAGGACTTGCACAATAGCATCCTTGGCAACATCGAGGTCTCCAGAAATCTGATCAACAAAGAAGATAAACATTGTTCAAAACTATAGGACATGAAGAGAAACCTTTGTTCACACAAAAAAGCCAGGAAAAAGATAAATGAAACAATAACAATGCACTTACCTGTACCATTTCATCATCATCAGATGCAATTTTAGGAAGATTTTCCTTTGACAAGATGCGGATGTTAGCCTTTGTAAGCCTCCTCATTTCAGTAATGATAGATCCTCCTTTACCAATAAGGCATCCAATTCGTGAGGTTGGCACTAGTAGACGGGTTGTGAATGAGATTATTCCTGAATCTCTTTCAACTTTCTCACTGCACCGGGGTTGTAAACACACAGCTGCCTCTATTGTTGGAGAAAATGTATCTTCGAAGAACTGAATGATACAAATTTTTAATTATCACATATATAGTAGAAATCAACTCAAAGAAAGAAGGTCCAATGGATGATCAACATTTTACCTCCTTTTTTGAAATGGTGATTAAGCAATCATCTCCGGTTGATGAACTATCAACTTTGATTGTTGCCCCAGAATCCTGCCTAATTTGATTTATGATAGCACCACCCTTGCCTATCACACCTCCAATGTTTCCCATTGGGCAAACCAAGCGAATTGAAAATTCCTTTGATGATACTTCATCTCTTGGAGCAGAGTACAATGACCTTGGCCAATCTCCAGCATCACCTTTATATCGTCCATAAGCACCCATAAGAGGAGCTATCCCCACAATTGGTGCTCCTGCAGTTGGACCCACAAGTGAGCCGCCAGTAGAATGCATAGCAGAGACAAGCAGATGCTGAGATCGAGATGGATTATCATGAAGTCGAGTCGCAATCTGATGCAGAGCTTTCTTCACAACTGCAGGATCCCCAGAAATCTATAGTTCCACATCCAATCAGTACAGAAATACATTAACATAGAAATATGCCCATTATTACCCAACTATAATCAGGTAACTCATCATGAAAAAGAAGAAAATTAGTAATTATATGCATAGACTAAAGCTCAACTTGTACAACCAAGTCATCTACACAGCAAATAAACTAGTAGTCATTCAAAGCACTACAAAATAAATCATAATAAACAAAAAAATGCGATTAAAATGTCCACAATGAATAGTGGTCTAACTGGATGATTGTAGTGTATATACACCAGAACAGCATGGTAGAACTAAAAGTAGAGCTACAGAAATAAAAATGACTGAGAGCTTTCACAAAAAAAAAAAACAAATTTGAGAAAGACAACCCTCTGTGCATGTATGTGCATGAGGGGGGGGTTGCAGCTTTCGTAGGCAATTACCAACCCGATTCTGACCCATGTGAAACAGGAATTGGAATAACTAGCGGCAATCAACAGAGAAAGATGACAAACACTTTTAATCAGTATATCGATATAATAAAATATATAGCAAACTACACTATTCACAAGCCATGAATAATGTGGGTCAATCTTTAGGCTCCATGCAATGCAAAGAAAAATGTTTTTGATGTTAAAATATACAAGAAAGAAGAAAAAAATATTGAGAAGAAATCCAGTCATTTTACCTGCACTAGTTCGTCAGAGCTCAATGAACATCGAGGTAAATGCTCATCCTTTAGTATACGAACCTGGGCACCAGTGTCATTACGGATGCTCTGAACTATCACCCCACCTTTTCCAATAACACAACCTATCTGATCCGATGGTACAAGAAGCTTAGCTACAACTTGGTAGCCTCCTTCAGTATCCTCATCACTATGCAATTCTTCAGCAACCACTCTGTCGTGCACCTTAAACAGAGCATCCTGAGCCGGTGATACAAAATTGCTCCCATCCTCAGCAGAATTGGTCTCTTCACTGGGGCTGTAGATTGTAATAACACGCTCTTCACATCCTGGAACTGTCTCACCGATCCTAATCTTTGATTTGGTGTCTATCCTCAGTTGCCTAACAATCTCACCTCCTCTACCAATAACACTGCCGATCTTTCGTACAGGGCACAGATAACGGTACACAGTATCTTCAGGATCAATCACAAACTGCTCTCTATCATCACCCATATTCCTCTTTTTATTTCCTCTGGCATCATAGTCAGATTGAGTGCGGGAACGCTTTCCATGACCAGCCATTACAGAAAATACTTTAGATCTGATTCCAAGTCAGACTAAAAGCTCTTGGGTGAACTTAAATAATCTGCCAACACAAATTACATAATGAAATTCATAAAATTATGACTAAGATTTATTCATTTCATAACTTCCACCAGAAAAAGGAAAGGGTCGGGGTGGGGGGCAGCACAACTATAACTGATGAGTTACAAGAAGTGGAAACAATTATCCTTCCACTCCAAAATAAAATAAAAGGATCGAAAATAACTTCCAGGCCTTTCAAACAGAAACCCGCGTTTGAACAAGATATTGCTTCATGACAGAAATTCGTATTGTAATTTTAAAACTCAGATCTAGTTCAATTTTAAGAATCACAATTCGTTGCCCACTACTTTATGCGGGTAATGCTTGAAGAAAATAAAAATATTTAAACAAATTCCATCCTTTGTAATAAACAAGCTACTCTGTCAAATAGAAAGAATGAAGAACGCGTTAAAGATGAGCCATTTAAAGTGTTGGATTTAGCCTCTCAGTATGAAATCGCGTCTTCTAATAACATGTTTACCCGCAACAAACCCTGTCATCAAAGATTAATAACCAAAGGTATCAATTATAACATAAGCACACGGCTGCTATTAATTCCAAGACCACAATCAAGATTTCTTGTTCACGGGAACAATTCAGCGTCGATTGTCAAAGGACACAAGGGGGAAATCATCGATAAGAGAAGTACTAAACTACAGCCAGAACTGATCAATCAAGAAGCACTAAGGATAAAATGTAATTTTCAAAAAATCATGGGTGCAGTTACCTTTAGGGGTTAAAGAAAATTATGAGAAAATCAATGAAAAAGGAGAGGATACTAACACGTTAATCTAAACAGATCTGAGCATTGCGTTGTTAGCGTGCAGATAGGGGAAGAGATGCTCGCAATGGATTGATCAGTTTGGTCAAACACTTCAACGCTAGAAAGTCGACGCTACTCGCATGCGAGTTCGCATGCGAAGATTGAAGAAGAAATTGGAGAATAGAATTAGGCAGGCAGCCATCGGGTCAACTGCGATGGACATTCGGATCCCTGCCCCGAACTTGCATTTCTTTTTTCTTTCTTTCTTTTTCTTTTTCTGACAAAACGGTTTCTTGCCCTTACCAAAAAAAAAAAAAACCATTTCTTGCATTTTTTGTCCCACGGGGGAAAATTATTTTTTATCGAGGTTCGACGCTGACCCGTGATCTGTTGGACTCTAATGCCGCTGCTCTTTGGGCCTGGATCCCATTATGTACTTATGGACCACCTTTTAAAAAGATAAAATAGTTTATTTTATAAATTATAGTGATATTTTATTTTCAATACAATCTTTAAACTACCCTTAAGAAAAAGAGAAATAAAAAATAATATTATATAATTTATTTACTTTTTAAAGGCTATATTTGTAATTTTACTAAATTTTATTCTTTATATTTTTGTTGTATTGGTATTGATGAAATTGATAGAAATAACTTATAAATAGGATTGGAAGGAATATTACTTCTTGTCGATGTAAAATCAATGCGAGGGTCTGTACCAAAAAAAAAACAAAATCAAGGTGAAGGTAAAAAATAAATGAAGGTGCTATAGTCAATCTTTGTTTTTATTCCATAAACCTAACAAACTAATATTGTGGTAATTATTTTGTTTTATTTTAATTTTAATTGAAAATAATAACCCTAAAAATCATACTCCATCTGTTCAAAAATGTAAGAAATTTTTAGTCTTTCAAGTAATCATTGCCTTTTTTTAAAAAAGTGCTCCTATTGATAGTGACTTCGTATTTATTATAGGGTGTTTAATGAAGGTAAATATGACAAAATAGGATTAGTTTAAAAGTAGGTAACTAAAACAGGATTAATGTAAAAGTAGGTAACTACTTTATTGAGGGTAAAATTTAATTAAAAATGCCTTATATTTTTAACAAAAGAAGTATATTATTAAGCAAAACAACGCTCAATTTAAGCTAAAATAATAACTATGAGATAATTATATATCAAAGTAATGCTTATATTTTGAGGGCAAGAAGTGTGTGTTCATCAACTTTGTACCCATCTTGATTGGGTTGATTATGTTTTAGTCATATTGAAATCAGTCTTTCTCAACTTAAAAAAAAGGGGACAGGATATGAAATTACTCTCAGGATGTCTTGTTCCATCTTAAATATTATATATATTTATATATTATTTTTTCTTTTAAATAGTGATAATTTTAACAAGAGCAGGCAATATATGGCAATCTCTTTTTTCACAATATATTAATTGCATTAATATAATATAATTTATTTTTATATTTACCTGTTTATTAATTTTTATTTATATTATATTTATTGCTTTATTTTTAAAAAAGTCAATAACTCCAAATATCTCAATTAAAGAAAGAGAATAATGATTTAATATTATACTTAGCTTGTCTGTTGCCATTGCTTTTATAGTCTAAAGGTCATTCCTAGTTGCTATAATAATATGTTATATCTCATATATATTATATATATAACTGATTTTAAATTATTGTAATATATGTATTCATAATGTTTGGTTTTAAACTTAACAAGTTGTATGATTTAATATTTTAATGAATATTGTTATTCAAATATTTGTTCTATGTTGTCCATTTTATTGGGATGCCTTTGTCCCATTCTAATCCCATCCTAGTTAAAAATCTAGATGAAAACTAAGCAAAAATTTAATCCTAATCATTTTTCGTAATGGAATGCAGGATATGGGTATCCCATTCCCACCCTGTTTTGTGAACATTCATAAAAAAAAAAAAAAATTATGCAATTGTCAAAATATTCTTTATTTTTCTTTCTCAGCAAAATGATATTACAATATAATCATATAAAATAAAAAAAATTGAATTTGGACTTTGATATGATTCGGTACATTACATGATTAAAAAAAATTATTATTTTGACTATAAAAAATAATTATTATTATTATAACTAGCACCGTCACCGTTATTACTACCAAAGTACCATTACTATCACCGCCGCCACTACTACTATATTGTATTGTTGCTGTTGCTCCTACTCTTATTGCTACCGCAACTCCTACTATTATTGTTGTTGCTGCTATTGTTACCACCACTAATTATCAAACTTTTGAATTGATTTTCTAAATTTAATGTTTTAATATTTCTATCTTACAAAATTATATTAACTCACTCATAAACTCAAACTAGATACGAACTCAATCAAACTCATGAGTTTATCATTTTTGCATTTTTAATTTACAAAATTATATTAACTAATTCATAAACTCGAATTAGATATAAGTTTGTTAAACTTGTTAAGCTTTTTTTTTTTTTTTTGAATCGAGTAAGTTAAATATATGCTATGAAAAATATAATTTGTAAAAGTTATAGAACCTAGTTTAAATGAAAGAAAAAAAACATAAAAAGCAAAAACTAATGCTAATAAAAAATAAAAGAAAAAATATCAAAAATAATTTTTCTATTTTAAAATTTTAATTTTTATATGATAATTTATTAATATAGATGTGTTTAAATTTAATAATTTATATTTTAAATATATTTAAATCAAACTACGGTCATATTTTATATTTTAATTATTTAATAATAAATTTTTAATAATTATTTATTAATAAAGATAAATTTTTATAAATTTACGATTCAAGTTTGCAATTTAAGTTTACATTCAAGTCACAAATTTACTTAAACTTTTAAACTATTTTGTTAAAAATTCATTGTTTATAAATAGCAATACATTAAACACTAATATTTTAGAAGATATTGGCAGACGATGAAAGTAAAAACATTAATGGATCATCTCTTCTTTTTCTCTTCCAAGAAAGAAGGCAAGGAAAATGATGGATAAATCTTATTAAAGTAGACAAATAATAAAAAATATCATAAAATGAAACAAGCATTACGAAGTTCTAAAAGACTCTACCCGTCTATAAAATATTTAAAATTATAATTGTTAAAATATAAATTAAAATTATTAACAATAAAAGTAAAGTTGCTAATGCAAGAAGTATAATTATTACTACATGATTAAATTAATAACTATTATCTTTTATACTATCAATTTTATATTTATTATTAATAATTTTACTTTAAGTTTTAACAACTATATTTACTATTATTTTGTTGAGGGTCATAAATATAAATTTATAAAAAATATATAAATCCTCCATATATTTAAAAATTAAAATAAGGATAAATTGGTTTATTGGCTAAAAAAATTTTTTTATCTAAAAAATATAGACCAAATTTTTAAAAATTGAAAGTATGATTGGTTCATATTAATAAATAAGAGGTTTATTATTGATATACAAGAAACTTATAATTAAAAATTAAAATTTATAAAAAATTTATAATTGATATATGCTAGTATATTATTGACATATATAATAAACCGATCATAATATAAAATATTAAATTATTTATTTTGTTTACTCCTATAATATAAGTTATACTTGTAAAAGCTCCTCAAAATAATTATTTCATTTAATAATTTTTTTTATTTCTTTATTTTGATGAGATATCAAGAAAATAATAAGTTAAAAAATTTTATTTATTTTACTGAACAAATCAGCAAATAGTTTGGTGGTGCCGTGGTGGACTGGTGGATCATGGGACTTTTTACAAGGATAAATAGTGGACACAGCTTATGTAGCAGATCACCCCGATGGAGTCCGGGACGATATAAAATCCCCTCCATATTCCCCCACTCTCCTTCGAGCTATCGGGAAATCGCGGCAGTTTCTAGACAACCAAACACTCGACTTTCACCTTCACAACCTGAAATCTTTACCTGCGCCGGATTCCTTAACGGTACTCCAATCCGTGAAATGTCAACCTCAAGCCAGCACCAGTTTCGATACACTCAAACCCCATCTAAAGTCCTGCATCTACGCAATCTTCCATGGGAGTGCGCCGAAGAGGAGCTCAAGGAGCTTTGTAAACCCTTCGGTAAGATTGTCAACACCAAGTGCAATGTCGGCGCCAATCGGAACCAGGCTTTTGTTGAATTTGTTAGTTCCTCATCTCTTCTCTCTCTCATGTTATCTAATTCTTGATTCTTGCTCGGATTTTTAACCATCTATTGAGCGAGTCTTTTGAGAAAAGTTAGGGTAAAAATAAACTGATGCACTTGCCAAAGGTTGATGCATGAAAGAAATTGAATTGAACTAGCGATATTATTGGATGGGCCAAGGCCAAGATGAAAATGAAACTTGTAAAGGATTTAAAACAAGAAATTGAAAATTTAAAGAAGCTGTTTATCCTCGTAACAAAATTTTGTCCTTAAAAAAGTGCCCTTAGCTTAATGAAAATAATACATTAGATCAGCAAGATTGACTTTATTGGAAGCATTTCAGCTCATTTTCTTACATTGAAGATGGTGTATATGCTCGTAACAAAAATCTTGACCTTTAAGGAATATTCTGTGTCTGCCAAATATCTGTGGTGGTGCTTTTTAATGTTTGATGAAACACGGTTCTTTTCGGACTATCCAACTCTAATTTCTGAACTCTTAAAAAATGATGACTTTACCAGGCAGATTTAAATCAAGCCATTTCAATGGTTTCATATTATGCCTCGTCTTCAGAGCCTGCGCAAGTTCGTGGTAAAACTGTTTATATTCAGTATTCTAATAGACACGAAATTGTCAACAATAAAAGTCCCGGAGATGTTCCTGGAAATGTCTTGCTGGTAACAATTGAAGGTGTGGAAGCTGGAGACGTGAGCATTGATGTTATCCACTTGGTAAGTGCTTTTTGAGTTGATTTGGAGATGTGCTGCAAGGTCCTTGTTTGGGCAAAACCATGGCTTTACTTCAATATTTGTTGTTTGCTTCTCTGCTAATTGGGTTTAGCTCTTCTTGATTTGAATTCTTATGCTTAAATATAACCGTTCATACATTATAATAATGGGCATAAATGCATGATCCTTGCAGCCTGTCATTTTGAAGTACATTAGACGCAACGTTTTCCTCTTGGGTCGTGCAAATTTTTTTTTTTTGGGGTGATTTAGACAGCAGGAACGGTTAGGTAGTATAGTCTGAACTATATAATGCTTAAGTACAGACTGTCATGAATCGTAGTTTAATGACTAATATCACTAGAAAGTGATTTTTCCTCGAAAACCAAATTCTGTTTTAGACCTTTTGTATTTTAGTGTATTAAGCAAAGTTAACCTTATTATTGCTGGAAGATATGAAACTCTAAGAGAAGAAAAAGAGAGCGTAGTTCTTAGAAGAAAATATATTTTTAAGTGCAAAGGGTAAAACAAAGAAAGAATCACTAACAATAGAAAAATCAAGTGTTGAATCTTGGTTGTTTTCCCTGCTGTTTGCATGATGCAGAGTTGAAAACCTGTTGACCCTTTTGCTTTTATAATCTTAACAGAGATTAGAGTCACTTTACTATTAGGAGAAAGGTATATCATATCGAGGTTTGTCATTGGAGAATTTTGCAATTATGAAAATTGTGTTTCTATTTCACCTGAACTCCTAATTCTTGGTGCATCCTATCAATTATATTTATTTATTTTTTTCCAATCTCACTTGAATGCTTTGTCATATGTCTCTAGGTTTTTATACCTTCAAATCACAGAGTTTATCTTTCAACAATTAATCTTGTGATCTATTATCTACTTCTCTTTTATTTAGAGTTAGAAATAATCCTGATTAAATCATGTGCCATTTTTTATTGAAATCGGCTGAATCACAGATGGTGATCTCTCATATTTAGATACTTTTGTTGGAGACAGTTTGGAATAATTATCATGTACGTCATACTCCTTTCTAAGGTCACCCATATAAGTCCAGGTGTCATTCTGCACTTATTTCTCATTAGTTTGAAACTTCTTGTTGTTGCCTGATGATCTCATGATTTGTGATGATTCCAGGTCATCTGGTCATGTACTGTATGATTTCCCACCTCGTTCTTTTAGGGAAAAAAATAATATGATGTCTGAACTAGTATTTTGTTCTGTTATTCAGGTGTTTTCTGCTTTTGGATTTGTACACAAAATTGCTACATTTGAAAAGGCTGCAGGCTTTCAGGTTAGAAATTTATCATCATATGACATTTATTTCAATATGTTACTGTTAGTATCCATTTTATTTATGTGTTTTCTCATGGCAGGCTCTGATTCAGTTCAGTGATGCTGATACTGCTGCTTCAGCTAGGAATGCACTGGATGGAAGAAGCATACCCAGGCAAGCAGTACTTTTGCAATTTGCCCTTTCCATCTTCCACTTCAGCATGAGTCCTGATTATAGATGAGAAAGTATTAAATTTGCTGATTAGGTTATGCTTCTGTACTCAGATACTTGCTCCCTGAGCATGTTGGTTCTTGTCACTTGCGTATTTCATACTCAGCACATACTGATCTTAATATCAAGTTCCAGTCTCATCGCAGCAGGTAATAATTTACTTGAAAAACTTCTATAATGTAGTATTCTTTGGTCACATGATTGCTGGTGCTTGGGATTCGCAGATAAATTGTCAAAGTCCTTGTTGTCATATATCATGGTGTTCACTGACCTGCTTATTGATATGTGCTTTTTGTCATCTAGGGGTTAGTGAAGCCTGATAGTCAGAATACAGATGTGTTGGCATATCCACTTAGTAAATTTCTTGATCTTTTTCCTGTTATTGCCATTAAAGTTGAAGTTATTATTCTTTACCAAAATGAACTGAAGGAAGTGTTGTTTTTCTGTGGGTAATTTTTCTGACCATTTGGTATTGATACTAGCTATCTATACTTTATAATTGCTTTGACATGGGAAAATGTCTTGGATTCTGATGTAGAAAATAAGAAAGAAGGTAGAAAAGAGATAGAGAAGTAGAAGTGATTTAAGGAAAGAATAAAGAAGAATAGAAGAGATAAAGAGAAACAGAGGGAAACCAGAGGAGAGAGATAGGGACTAATCTGAATAGTACGCTGTCATTGAGTCAAATGGGCTAATTACAATTGAGGGGAATCCTAATATTTATAGGATTCGGGTAAACATCCCTAGATAGGCGGAAATAAAGACAAAAAGACTTAACTAACCCCTTAATAACTACTAACCATCGAAATAACATGTCTTTTATTATTTTCATATCAGTACCCCCCTTTAACAGCCCTTGTCCTCAAGGGTTTGGAACTTGAAAATCTGGAAATTGCTTCTAGAAGTTGAGCAAAGACATCCTGCTTGCTTCCTCATCAGGTTTACCTTTCCACTGTACTAAAACTTCAGTAGTAACCTTTCCCTTATGTCTCCCTACTCTCTTATTCAAGATCACTTCTGGAACAAGGGTAGCTGGAACTTCTGGCCAATTTTCAGGGGGATGCCTCTGCTTGATAGAGGGATCTGGATATAATGTTAACAGTGAAACATGGAATGTTGAGTGAATTCTGGATGTAGGAGGAGGTTCTAACTTACGGTCTACCTTCCCTATCCTTTCCACCACTCTATATGGCCCAAAATACCTTGGTGCCAATTTCTGAGTACTCCTAGATGCAGTTGAAATCTGTTTGTAAGGCTGCAGCGGTAGAAAAACCCATTGTCCAACCTCAAATTCACAATCATTGCTTCTTAAATCAGCCTCTTGCTTCAAACGGTTAGCTGCCCTATCGAGATGATGCTTTAAAACATTTATCATATGTTCTCTTGCTGCAAAACTTCTATCTACATATGGAGCACATATTGGTGGTTTTTGTCCATAAAGTAATTTATAGGGTGTTGCTTTGGTTGAAGTGTGGAAAGTTGTATTATACCACCATTCTGCCAAGGGCAACCACTGGCTCCATTCCTTAGGAGTTTCCCAACACATACACCTGAGATATGTTTCCAAGCAACGATTCAATGCCTCTGATTGCGCATCACTTTGAGGATGGTAAGAAGAAGTAAGCTTTTGCTCAACCTTGATCGCCCTCAAAAATTCCTTCCAGAAAGTGCTGATAAAAATTGGGTCCTTGTCATTAATGATCTCATTAGGAGTCCCATATAACTTGTAAACATGATCCATAAAATGTTGACTCAAGGTAGCTGCTGAAAAGGGATGGGAAAGAGCCAAAAAGTGAGCATGTTTGCTTATTCTATCCACAATAACCCATATTACCTCTTTACCCTCAGATTTAGGCAACCCTTTCATTTTCCATTTAAAACCCTTCCATAAGCCATGAATCTTGAGCTTTTCTCCTCCAGCCACCTTTACCCATGATTCTGGTGTACAATCAGGTTGCCAGCCAAACTTCTTGGCTGTTTTCCAGGTCTGAAAAATCATGGGTACTCCCATTATCTATCAGAATCTGTGTCTATCTCTTGCCACAGTGTCCCACCGCTCTCATTGAAGGTGCACACCCAACACCTTCCATTGCATATGAAGAAATTAACGGGGTTTCATCTTTCTTGCACGCTGCCTCCTCTGGCTCCTCATTTGGCAATTCTTCTTCTAGGACTTCTTGTATTGTAATAAAATGCAATTGCATCTTTTGCCTTTTGGGACACTTGTGGTCCCTAGAGAATTTCTTGTGGCAGTAGAAACAAAGGTTTTTTCTCATTTGTTCTGCTTCTTTTGCAAAAAGAATTTTAGGGGCATTAATACTATTTTTAGAAGAAGTGGAAGTTTTTTGAAGGTATAGATGTCGACTTCCCTTTTTGTGGGGTCCCACCATCAAATAAAGCATGTTTTTATGTGGCCCAATTGTTTTGAGACCCTTGTGATGATGCAAAGGGGGGTGCAGCCACTTGTGCTACATTTTTTACACTTGTATGCTTGTCTGCTTGTCGTTGCAAGGTAATCTCTTGCATGCGTGCCAAGAAGCAAGCTTTTTGGAGAGTTCTGGGTTTAAAGAGTCTAATTGGACTTGTGTATTCCTCCGACAAACCTCCAAGATAAGCCTCAACCAAATATTCTTGGGAAAAATCAAGTTTAGATGCGATATTATCAAACACATCATTGAATTCTGCAAGGGAGGCTTTCTGTCTTAAATGCATCAAGTCTCCTAATGGTGTCTTGTGAGTGGGTCCAAATCTTTCTTTCAAGGCTTCAGCATACTCGATCCAGGTGGGAGTAACACCGAACCACATTTTCTCTATAGATTTATGCCACGACCACGCATTTTTGTCTAAGCAAATGGAAGCCATCTTAACCTTATCTTCTTTTGGGGTGCCATCGAGTTCAAAATATCTTTTACACGGCATGATCCAACCCAAGACATCAACTTGGGAAAATCTTGGAAAATCCATTTTCATAAATTGGGTAGGATGTTGATATTCATCTCGGTGCCTCTGATCTTCTCCCCGATGATGATAATGCCCATTTCGGGCCTCTCTGTTTCGATGACCATGGGCAGTGGACTCATCATCTCTTTCACACATCAATGAATGAATCTGTTGTGAAAGACCCATGACCTGATCATTGAGGGTGTCTACCGCATCGAGTTTAGTAAGCCTTCATTCAATTTCTTGTAATCTTTCCTCCATTATTTGCTTTTTCTGGCTGCAGGTCTTCACCATGTACCATCAAGATGAAAAAGAAGGAGAGAAAATGGCCAAGGAACAAAAGCTTTGGTACCACTGATATAGAAAATAAAAAAAAAGGTAGAAAAGAGATAGAGAAGTAGAAGTGATTTAAGGAAAGAATAAGGAAGAGTAGAAGAGATAAAGAGAAACAGATGGAAACCAGAGGAGAGAGATAGGGACTAATCTGAATAGTACGCTGTCATTGAGTCAAATGGGCTAATTACAATTGAGTAGAATCCTAAAATTTATGGGATTCGAGTAAACATCCCTAGATAGGCAGAAATAAAGACAAAAAAACTTAACTAGCCCCCCCTTAATAACAACTAACCATCGAAATAACATGTCTTTTATTATTTTCATATCTGATTCCTCACCTCATCTTTTGTCAACTGAATCTGTTAGTTGAGAAGATTGTCCATTTGTACATCTAATTTTATAGTTGTTTTGACTAACAATGGTTTTCTGGATTTTGGTTAGTTCTGGAGGAATATTATGCAGAATAATTGATGTAATGACTGTAAAATCATAAATAAATATGAAGAACCATACTTACATGAACAAGCCTGCTTTTCAAATATATTCCGGCCATTGTATTCAATCCAATATTTTTTATGGTCGTATTGAATTTGGATTTTATCTTGGTTAAAGAGAGAGTGCAATTGGCTTGCAAAATTCTAGTTTAGGGGTCCTTTGAGCATAGTCTCTTTCAGTTCAGGGATCTCTTAGGAAGAGAAGGATTCATGGATAAACCATGTTAAGTATGAGACCTAGGAGACTTATCATCCATTTAATTGGAATTTAGAATCAATGTTTGAGAAATCCAAAGGGCCCAAATATCTTCGCTGAAGCTCTTCCTATTTCTTCCATGCATTTAAATAAGCAGACAGATTCAACAATGTTTTCTGATCACTCATTTATCTTACCGGTTATCAGTTTTCCTTACAAGAGAGTTCATAGGCTTGAGGAAAATCTCCATTTTTGTTTCTTATCCTCTTCTTCTTGAGGCTTTATTCAAGAATGGCAATGTGTGGACAGTTCTATTTTCTTCTTTAATAAATGTTATAATTTTGATGTTCTTCTGATGTTGATGTTTGACTACTCTGCAGGGACTACACGAATCCTTACCTTCCTGTTAATCCTACTGCTATTGAGGGGGTGGTGCAGGTATTATCTTTATTGCAATTCTGCTTTCTTGTTTTTAGCATGTACTAACTAGATATGATCTCCAGCCTGCTGTTGGTCCTGATGGAAAGAAAAAGGAACCTGAGAGTAATGTGCTTCTGGCATCCATTGAAAATATGCAGTATGCTGTCACTGTAGATGTTATTCACACGGTAAGAAAAATTATTCCTCGTATGAATTTTAAGTTGTTGGCAAATTGTAATGAATGCTGCTGGTCTGCATGTCGCAGGTCTTCTCTGCATTTGGTACTGTGCAGAAAATTGCTATATTCGAAAAGAATGGCCAAACTCAGGCTCTAGTTCAGTACCCTGGTACTAAACCTACTTGACTTTTTCTTTCTTGGAAGTTATTGACTTATTTTGATGTCCTTTTTTGGATGGATATTTCAAAATTACATATTTATTGTACGTGCTTTATGAAATATGATGGAGAATTACTTTATGCTTTGTGTGTTTTGTTGGGAAAGGGGAAGCATGTTTCCTGGTTTGTAGCCCATTGAGTGCCATAAAAGACAACCCTGCATCCGGATGGAACATTTTCTTGGGAACTTTTTCTTTTACTTGAGTTCGTTGTGCTCTGCTAGGAGGGTAGCAACAAGCTGGATGCCCTTTTCAAGTTTGTGGGAGTGTAACCTAGGTTTCTTAGCACAACTGAATTAAAATATTTTAGGAAAAAGAAATGAAGAGTATGCCTGCAAGTGTGGCATTTCTGGAGAGTTATAAGATCTCATGTATTATTACTTTAGAGTAGCGGGAAAAGCATCTTTCAATTGTTACTGGATACTATGCTATTGTTTGTGGCTTTAGTACCGGGCAATTCTTGGACCTTTATTTTGATGTGTGATTGTCTTCCACTATAATCTGACAGAATCCTCTGTTGTTTTTTCTATCATAATCAGCATCCTTGGCTTTTCATGGTTTTTTATTCGTTGGTGTTTATTTATCTGCAGATGTTACAACAGCAGCAACTGCCAGAGAAGCTTTAGAGGGGCATTGCATATATGATGGTGGCTATTGTAAGCTTCATCTATCATACTCTCGTCATACTGATCTCAATGTGAAGGTATAAAAATATGTGTTTTTGAGTTAATGTTCATGAGGGAGAAAATGAAAGAGGGGGGATAAATATTGTTACTAAGAAGAAATTTGGACAATTCGTGGTCGGAAAGAGATTTGTTAAATGTATGCTTCTTGACACCTGGTTGCTTTTACGAGTATTCTTTTTAAATGTTTGAATAATCATCTATCAAGCTGATTGTAGTATTACATAATTATGATTGGTTTTAGGCTTTCAGTGACAAAAGTAGAGACTATACAATCCCAGATCCAAGTATGCTTGCAGCACAAGCTCCTTCCACAGCTTGGCAGAATTTCCAGGCTTCTCCTTTGTACTCTGGTAGTTCTCCTGCTGTGCAGGGTCAGGTCCCTGGAGGACAAGTTCCATCATGGGATCCAGCCATGCAGGCAGCTGCACCGAGTTATGTGCCAGCACCAGGTACTTTTCCTGGTCAAACCTATGGGGCCCCTCCAGTTCCTGCCTATTCCCCTGCAGCAATGCCTGCTGCTTCATCACCTCTAGCACAGACGAGTCATGTTTCTCATAATGCAAATTCTCTGGGAATCGCTCAGCCTGGGGTTCAACAGAATGTAAATTTACTGCCCAGTGGCGCTTCACCTCCAGGTCCTGGTTCCTCACCTCTTGTGCAAACCAGCCCAGCTGCTCAAGGATTGGGTCAGCCAAGTATGAGACCTGGTGGCGCTTCACCTCCTGGTCAACAACCTTACTATGGTTGATGAGTTGTCTTCAAGTAGTTGAAGTCACCTGGTTCAGGCAAAAAATTGAAGTCACTTGCCTTGCAATTGATTTTCCTTTTATTTTGTTGTTTACCTTTTAGTTGGATCTCAAAGAACTCTGCCCTAATTTTTTAATGTATTGCAGCAAGTATCATGGCTTTCCTTGTATCTCTCTCTTGTATTTTCCAAGCTACCCTTCTCCTTGCGGGGTGTTTTTCGCTCGTTTTGTTTCCTTTATCGTTTTGAAGTATTATTATGCGAACCTTTGCATCGTGGTACCGAGCGCATCTCGAGGAAATGCATGCTCTGGCCGCTTCTTATTTCTCTGAGCTGTTTTTGGATGTGGCCATAGCTAGTGTCACTGCCTTGAAGAAGGAGCCTATCCAATTCAAATTGCGGCTCCGAGTGGCCTCGTCATTGAATTTAATCGGAGGGGAGGAAAGAAGAAAAGAAAATAGAAAACTTGTCTGTGATTGAAGAACTATTAAAGTCTAACGTCTAATAGCCGATTTAGCATGGACACTCAAAAAGAAAACAATACGTTGACAACCAGAGACTGCTATCAAGGGCTGGCCCAGATCAGTGCCATTTGCATCTCTTGGTGGTTGCGCTTCCGAAATGATGAAATCCACAGGGAGAATTATTATGAAGTTCTATAGTTACGGCGTAAATATAGTGGAGTTTCATAAATTATCAAAATATTCTCAAAGTTTTAAGTCTCTTTTACAGGTCTATGTAAATGGGTTGATACACATTGATAACGTGTTGCTGGCATAATAAAAATGGCAACTTAAGTATACGGAACATTTTTTTTATAAACAATACCTTGAGTTTATGAAAATGACAGCCTATATATTTTTAAATAAGAATTTAGTTGTATGTAAATAACCTGACTGTTGCTAATTAAATGACAACTTACTTATTTATAAATAACAAATTAATTATATATCAATAATAACTGGGATTTAAGGAAATTATAATTTACTTAGTAATAATTTGATTAGAAGACACCTCAATTGGGTCGATGAAGAAGAAAATTCTAAGAATAATAAGTGAAAAGTATAGAGGCTAAAAGGGGCTAGAAATAATAAATAGAATTAAAAACATTAATTTTAATGGGAAGGGTTATAAATACTAAAGTACAATATTTTTAGTTTAAATTCATGTAAATGCATAAAACATCTTTAAGAGCACTGTTGAAACTAATAATAATAGAATATAACATAATCAAATAGTTATATAAAAAATAAATGATAGACATAAGGCATCAACCGTTTGTGAGGTGATGGGTAATGTTAATAATCAAGGCAAAGTATTTTTCGGTTCCTGGTATGGAAAGAGGATGCCAAAGGGAATTTGGATTGCTATAAAATGTATAAGCGTAGCCATCAACCAACTTATTTGTATGTATATATAATTATAATTAATGCATAGGGCTGATATTTATTATAATTATAATTATAATAATTGACATAATATATCATAAAAGGCATTATACCATTTTTATTTTTAAACAAACAAATCACTAACATGTGCCGTGAATTACTTAAAGAATGTACACATGACTTGACGAAAAATAAGTTACGAAGCTTTAGAAGCTCGCACAACTTCGCATCGGATCATGCACAAATTCAAAGAAGCACATATAATAATCATAATAAGTCAGTGGAAGTTGTTCTCCATAATTTTAACAAATTCACGGAAATCTATTCGGCCGTCTCCATTTTCGTCGAAGGTGGCGATCATCTTCTGGCAGTTCTCAAGTTCGGTGGCTTCCTTCAACCCCAAAATACACAGAACTCTCTGCAACTCCCTCCCATCGATGAAACCATCTCTGTTCTCATCAAACACATCGAAAGCTCTCTTCACCTCCTCCAAGCTCGGTTCTTCCTCTTCAAACATCGCAGAAATCTCACCCCAACCATACCTTTCCTCAAGTTCCTCGCTTTCTGGGCTGCAAAAAATTCCCAAGTTTCCCATAACCATTTTCACCTCGTCCCTCTCTAGCTTCGCATCATATCTGTTTTCACGGCTTAAACTCTCGCCGTGACTCACCTCGGTGTCTGATACCTGTAGCTGTACATCTTCTTTTACCTTTGGGTTGACAGGACTAAGTTGGGACTGAAAAAAGAAGAAAAAATTTCTGAAGAATGTCTGCATTCTGCACAAGAGGGTACTGCAGAGGAAAAAATCGACCAGAACAAACAGGGGAAACTGTGATGTCTTCTCCATAGTGATAAGGAAGGGAATTTCATCAAGAGCCATTGTTCCAGGTAGAGATATATACTTCTAATTCAAAGACAGATATGTATAGTTAAAATCTTTCAAATGTTCGAGTTGCTGGAGAAGCAAGGGAGGGAGATATGGGTTTTATAAAAGAATATGGAAGAAGAAGAAGAAGAAGAAGAAGAAGAAATGGTCATTTGTTGACACCGTCATAGGAAATGCCCACGAAATTAAACAAAGTGTTCCATTTACGTTGAGGTAAAGTACGGTCAGGCTCTCACCTGCACTTTTTGTAATAATAATAATAATAAAAAAGGGTCAGGCTGACCTGCTTTTATTGGCCTTTTAATGTTTGGATTTTGTGTCAAATTATGCTTTTAGACAAGCCATGCTGGTTTAAGAATCTCCGTGGTTGACTGACCAGACCGGATGGGCAAATGAGGAGCAAAGTTAAAATAAATAAATAAATAAATATTGAGAAGGTTCTGGGAAGGAAGCGTCAGAAAGCAGGGCAGCCTGAATAATTTTCCGTGGAAAAAGTATTACTTTCAGGGGAATCATCAATAACTACCACTTATGTTCCATGAAATGGGAGAGAATTGGAAAGACAAGGGATTGGGAAACTTGGGAGAAGCATGAAGGAAACTCGGAATTCTATTATTGTGTGATGAGAAAATGGCGTGAGAACAGGGAATTTTGTTTTTGCGTCTTTGACTTATCGTGGAATTGCTTTTCCACTGCTGTCGTTTCCTTAACGCCGACGCTGGACCAGGCTTCCTTCTTTTTTGTGGAATTGCTTTTTATAATTATGTTCCAGGAAACCGGGAGAAGCTAATACTTGTAAAGCACAATTCCTTTCCTTCTTTTTTTTTTTTTTTGATTATGCACTCCCCGGCTTTTTTATTATCCATACATCTGATGAACTGGTTATTTCCACGTTAACCGTTATGATTTTTTTTTTTTCAATTGAGAAGCTCTGTTTTTTTTTTTTATTATGGCTGATTTGATTCTGATTTATAAGGAAACAAATTATGAACAGTGATGAAAAAGTAATTTAATTCGTTTCATAGGTGACAGGTGACTTTTACTTCTTCAGCCTTCAGGCTCATCAGAAGTCTTCAGGCGTAGTTACTTGGGCATTCAGGAACATTTGCTTGGCGAACAGGAATAGATGCAGTTCACTTCTGATTTATTTATTTATTTTGTTTATCTCTCATATCTCTGTTCAGCTATTCATTCGACAATTTTAGGTCAAATAAAATAATATCTCCATCCAGGGTTAAATACAAGAGAATTTGTGAGAATACGGGTTAGGAATCATGTGTGAATTAATATGAAAATAATCTCATATTGGAAAAAAGCTGAAGTTTGGGGGGGGATAATATAGACGAGGCTATAAACTTAAGGAAAATAAAAAAAATAATTAAGGATCTCATAAAAACATTAATGACAATTATAGATCTTAAATTATTAAAATTTTAATAACAGATCATGGTCCTTACAATAAATTACTCCCTCGTCTTTATTATAAAATACTTTCAACTGTTTCACTCATTTTAAAAAAAAGTTATTTTGTTATGTCATAAAAAAGTTATATATATTTTCATTTTTATCTTTAATTTTAAATAATGATACAACTATATTAAATACCTTTACGCTAATAAAAAAAGAATAAAATTAAAAAAAGTAGTTTAATTATGTAAAGTGTTCTAAATTTTTGACCAAAAATTACTTCTAAAAAGTATTCTATAAATAGGATTAGAGAGAGTATTTTTTTATTAACTAACTTGATATTCGCAACAAATTTAGTTCATTCTCAACTACCGCTACAAAAATTTTCAACTATTTTTTGTTAATTTTTCAAGTGATGGCAAAAAATCACAACTGTTTGGCTTGTGATTTACAACTTACTCTCATAAATTCTCAATTAATATTACAAGTAATCTAAAATGTATTTACTTAATTTCTCAAGCCATTTATCTATATATTAACAATAAAAAAAATCATAAATGATTAGCTTACAATTTACAATTGATTCTCATTAATTTTTAACTAATGTTACAAATAATCTCAAATATATTTACTTAATTTTTTAAGCAGTTTACATATATATTGACAGAAAATAAAAAATTAAAATTCACAACTAAATTTCATAAATTCTCAAATGATCATAATTTATTATTAAAATTTTAATAATTTAAAATATATAATTTTCATTAATATTTTTATGGCGACTCTGATTGTCATTTTTCCATAAACTTAATGTCACGAGATATATTGTCAAGATATGATATTGAAACCAATTTTAGTAGAGAGACACGTGTTCCTAAGAAAGACCATATTTGTGCGATCATCATTGTAAAGCTGGCAGTTTATGAGCAAAATCTGTAAATGAAATATATGATACGGATCCTTTACTTGATATCTTGCAGGCATCATTTGTGGTAATTATATTCAATTATTCATCTTCTGTCTACCTTGACGGCGTCATGGATTCTGTATTCATTGGGAAAAATAAGAACTGCGAGTTTCTCGAGGCCAACTTAATACAGAGAAAGGCATCACAAACAAGCAATATTCAACGAAGAATGAAACAGAGGACCGCAAGTGAGGCAATAAGAATGAGCCTTAAGTGGCATAGAAATGGACTGGGCCTCACTTGAAGATTGACTTGGCCCAAACAGGGCACTTGGTTGAGGGGACGTCAACATGGACTTGTGCTGTTCCAAATAGGCTTAATCCTTCTGGCCCAAAATAGGGGCCTAACCCTATGAAGCTAAAGGACATCCTTTACTCGTTATTAGGATTTTTCCTCTTTGCGGGCAATAAATGGCTGCAAATAAAAATTGTGGTTACCCGTTCCTATTTGATCATTGCTTTATGTAAACTATACGTACGTAACACGTTAAGAGCAATCGTATTCACTCAGATCAGCAATACTCTGCCTGACCACAGCAATGGGCAATGGCTATATATACCTAACCTTTTTATCATGATTCCACTATATATATATATATATATAAAAAGGGAAAATGACAAATAAAGAGCCCATAAGGATATTAATCTCAATTGAGAATCATAAAATATGAAAATCTCAATTAAGGACTATTGGGATTTAAAAAAATATAGATGGTCTTAAATGTCCCTAAAAAAAATAGCAAAACACTCATGTGCGCAGCCTCATATCTTGCTCTGTTTCAGTGTCTCTTTCTTTCTTCTTTCGTTCTCCTTTGTTCTTGTTCTTTTTTGTTCCTCAGCATGTCTATATGAGCTCTAGTATTGTGAACACATCATGCTAAATTTGGGATTTGCTATTGTTCATCTCTGTTAGAGCTTCATACTCTTTTTTCCTACTCGGCTTTACCCTTCTCAAATGGTAGTGACATTGCCACTATCAAAGAAAATATTAATTAACAAAGCTAAAAAAAATTGTTGATAATGAGCATGCCATCAAGGGAAAGAGCACACTGCTATAAAGAAACTGTTTAGAACAGAAACTTGCAACCCAAAAATGGAGAATGTAGGATTGGCTATTCCAACAAATGAGGAAAAGAAACTCTTCCTAAAAAATAAAAATGACGTCTACATGTATTGAAATTAGTGTAATATAATGCGAATATCTATTTCAAGTTTAAATATGTGCAAGTGTAAATGCTGTCATTACGTAAGACTGCTGAAGTCACTAATGTAGCATAGGAATATTGCTACTGTAACTAGTGAAAACATAGAACCTCATTTAGGAATAAAGTTTTTCACAGTATTTTAGACTTTGAAGTGTAAATGCTACCATAATATAAAACTCACTTTTAAAATGTTTTGAGGCCTCTTGTGAAAATACAAACATCACTTAAGAAGTCACTAACTTTCATGAAAAATATGAATACTAATGTGACCTGTTAAATTTTACTAACCCGACTGAATTGAGATCTACTAATGTCACTTAGAAATTCACTAACTCAACTCAGGAAATGGTTAATGTATATTGTGAGAACACGAAACCCTATTTGGGAATAGATTATTTAAGAAAAAGTGACTTGTTCAAATTAGGATCTAGTAACGTCACTTGAGAATCCACTAACTCAACTTGAGAAAATACCTAATGTATATTGTGAAAATACAAAATCTTACTTGAAAATAAATTGTTTAAGAAAAAATGACAAAGTATAGTTAGTAAGGAACATGAAAATTTTTGAGTTTTTCAAACTCTGATCCAATTAGTAAGGAACCAAGTATAATTAAACTCAAGATTAAGTAAACCAAAATACACGTCCAAGTTAAACACTGGAGCTAACATGGATATGTTGAGGAATGACAAAGAACGAGAACGAATGAGAACAAAAGAAGAAAGAAGGAGACGTTGAAACAAAGCAAGAAATGAGGCTGCGCGCATGGGTATTTTATTATTTTTTTCTTAGGGACATTTTCATATTTCATGACCCTCAATTGAAATTAATATCCTTAGGGGGTTCTTAAATGTCATTTTCCCTATATATAATGCTAAACCAATTATATTAATACGATTTTAATATTCTCGTAATCTGTCGTTCCAACTAAAACACAACTCATAAGTTGGTTCTTTCATCATCCCACCTGGCCAGTTATCCTACCTTGAAAATGCTGGTCATTTGTAGATATCCGACGTATTGAAAGAATCGGACTGGAATTTTACAATGCCAGATCCCTCTCGATCCCATACATAATGTCAAGTGCTATATTTTAAAAGAGCAGAAGGCAAGAGGAAACTACATGGTGCCCTGCTAATTATTAATGTTGTATGAAGAAGCTTCGTCTGAAAGGATTCATACTACATCGAAACACGAGGGTGTTCAATACTTCAATCAAACCATGAAAGGAGGGTAAGCTGTGCTTTGTCAATTATATTTTAGGAGGTTGGGAAAGTCAAACCTCATGGAACCGCCTGGAATGCACGTGAAGTCTAATTAAAGAACCTCCTTGTTAACTCATAAGTCGGCCAATCTCGCATCCATAGAGACACTCTCACTCGCAAGTCAAATGTTATTTTATTTTGGTGGCCATTTTTAGATAAGAATGAGACAGGCGAGCCACTTTATTTCATTACCGACAATATATAACATGCCAATAACAAAACCAAACCATGTACAAGTACAAGCTGCATCAAGCAATTTCTGGGATTCCACACACACACACACACAGAGTTCAAACTTCAAGTCCAAAG